GTTGACCCTAAGCCAGAGCTTAGCATTCCCAAGGCAAGGTAAGAAAATATTACTTACCAATAGAAACACAAAGCCAAAGAAGCACCATCTAGAAATACTAACTTAGCTTGCTGCCCAGTCCAACCACAAAGGCTGTCCCAGATGCTGAGGAAAGCGCCATCGGGGGCTCATGCATAATGCTCAAGGGTGGTTAGTTATTTTCAGAAGCAATAATTAGTAGCCATAGTGTCAAGATTTCTCTCTGGCTCTGCACATAACATTTTGTATGACATCTATTAAATGGCATTAAATCAGCTTGAGGAGCTTATTAGTTATATTACTTAGACATAGCTGTTAAAATTTGAATATACATAATGCAGAGTGAGAAAGGAAGAAGAGTAGAAGATAGAGGCAGCAAATGTAAGTCTAGTATTACAGGGCCTGTGTACAGAACGAGAGCAAAGAGGAAAATGGACATTTTGCACAAATAGGTGTGCAACGAAGTTCTGAAATGCTTTACATCCTTCTCATTCTCTTGGAAGTTTCCTGGAAGTAACTATTAATTTGGTACAACGTATAGAGAGAATAGTAACAAAGTTTAATAAGAAAATTACCCAAGTAGAGTTAGCTGTGTTACTTGTCTTTGCTCCTTTTAAACCAGGTAATACACATTCACTGTTTATTTACTATTGGAAATGTAATTATACCAATCTATACTGAATTGATTGATTGAATTGACTGGCTCTCTAGATACCAGCTGAATACTGTCTCAATTTTCCCTCGAATTAAAATTAAATTAAAAATGCCTTTTGAGAAACCTTTCTATGACTTCACACTTACATATCAGTTATTTTGTAGAAAATTGGGAAAAGCGGGACACAGAACTCTTAAATAAAATTGTTGCCTATCATTCTTATAGCAGGAAGGAGAGGCCATTGACACTGTCAGAGAGGTGCTCATTTGTCCTCACATGGATGTGTGGAAATATGCAGTATGTTATGAGAATATAACAACCAAAAACCATCAAAACATAACATGTCAATCACTGTCAAGGTCAAACAATACACATCTTGTTACCAGGGCCGAGATCCCTCATCATCAATATTTTGCTTTCCCTTGTATTCTTGTTTTTTCTTCTCTCTCTTCTTCTCAGGTCCAGATGTGGTTCAACACATATGTGAACATGTATAAATTAATACTTGCATGACTCTGTGTGTGTGCGTGTGTGTGTGTGTGTGTGTGTGCGTGTGCGTGTGTGCGTGCGTGTGTGTGTGTGTGTGTGTGTGTGTGTGTGTGTGTGTGTGTGTGTGTGTGTGTGTGTGTTAGGATGAGGATGTGAATAATTTAATTATGGACCAGATAGAGCGGGTTACTGAGGTTAATATCCTGCATGCACTCTGCTCCTCTCCGGACACAGTAATTGCTTTAAGCACATTAAGAACTTTATTGACTGCGATGGCCTTTTAAGACATTACATTTCTGCTGCTTAGTGTCAGACAGGAGTCATCCAGTTCTGCTTACTGTCTCCCTCTATCTCTGTCTTTCCTCCTTTCCTGCCCTCCCAGCTTGCCCTCTGCTCGCCCTGCCACTCTCTCCTCTCTGCGTGTATCTCCTTGCCTGTATCTGCTTAATTGAAGGCTCCGTAAATATGATGAGATTTGTATAGTGCCTCATCCTCAGAGGCAGCTTGATGAGGTTTGATTGGCAGGTGATTAACTCCTCTTAACCCGCAGAATCATTTGTCCTCGGTGGAACAGTTACACTAATGACACCATAAAAAGCTTCTTGATGTGTCAAATTCTGGAGCAGAGCTCTAGAGAGAGAGCTTCCAACAACTCCTTCGAAAACGTATAGCCCCCTCACTTCTCTTTCTCTCAGTTGAGATCAATCCTCTCAACACCCCCTCAGTAGATCTCTCCATTTTCAGTCAACACAGACCTTCTAATGAGGATGGAGGTGAATGGAAGGAGTTATTAAAAAGTCTTCACCTTCCTCCTGGGACCGCTAAAGAGGAATTATATGCAACTAAGTGCACTTACAGCCCCAGTTATAGTTATTTCACATTTCTGTTGCCATAAATCCACATTCACTTCCCTCACGACAGGAGTGCAAAATTATTTCTGGCCCAGGAAGATTCTGGTGTTCCTTTCTTTCTATAAGGGATCTGCTGGAAGATTTTCATTGCAGGCTTCAGGTGAGGAAAAAAGAAAATTACAGATTGGAGGGATGGAGGGAGGGGATGAGAGACAGAGGGAAAGTGATGGAGAGGAGAGGAGAAGCGAAGGAATGATGTCGCAGCTGACAGGGAGGGGAGCCAAGCAATAAGTACAGCAGATATAGCCAATGTGCAGAGATAAATGATGTAATATCTGCATGGATCGATGTCTGTACTGTCCCTCTAAAAGGAACTCTCTCTCTAAATTACACCACTATCTCTCTTACCACATGTGCACGCGCACGCACTCAAATACACACATTCACACCACAGATACACACAAATACACACACTCCACAGCTATCTCAATTAGTATAAATTAAGATGTATGGCTGTAAAGTCTGTGTCTTGAGACCACTATGTAAATGTCTTCTGCCAGCTGTCCAGTCCCATCACAATGCAGATGGTAGGAGGAGGCAAGGAGGAAATCAATTTGTTAAGATAGCACTATCCAGCTAATGAGAAATCAAGTGGCTTGACTTTTCACATGAATCCCATCATGTCCACTCATATTATAAAACTAAGATGTCATTAGTTGCACTTAGTGTGACTAATAGTCCAAAAACGTCCCTGTTCAGTGTCTATGCTAACAGTCCCACCTTGTGGCAAATCAAATAATTGCACTTAAAGGTTCACAGATTGGGGGGGGGAGTCCAGAGCTTTAAAAACAAATTTCAGCTCATGATGTTTGTTTCTTTTATTACAGTGGAGTGGATTAAAATCAGTGGTGGACTCCACGTGAAAGATTTCCAGCTCCAGCTTTGTCTCACACTCATTTGCCCCTTATATAATTATGTTAGCTGACATAATTGGAACCCGTGTTCCCATTGTACCTAATGTTATATTTTCAAATAAAGATTCACGAATTAGTCTCACTGGGTCTTATAAAAGACTTTTTGCTTTAGGTCTGGCAGCTGCCAGAACAAAGAAGATGAATGGAAGGCAGAGCTCCTTATAAACGGTTAATAACTGCAGTAATATTCATGGTACATGGTAGTAATATATTACTGTATGTATGAATAATTTATGTTCAGGAAATGTATGCATACATGTCTTGATGATTGACATAGTCTGAGAATCTCTTGGTACATTTGCTTTGCCGAGATATAATTAAAACTTGATCAAAAAGGTTAATCTCACACAGAAAAGTGCTTCTCTGTATATAACATGTTTTTTTAGATGTTTCCTTCTTGCTGCACTGTGGTATTTGCAATGATGCATCAGCAGCTTAGGCACTATCTTGCGGGGCGGGGGGGGGGGCGTTAAGATGCCTTAAAAACTCACATGAAAATGGTGATTGTTAGACCCCTTTTAAAGCTGACTCATATACTGCAAACTGGCATTCTGCTACATATGACTCATTTATGTAGCTGTCTTTGGAATTATGACTTATCATATGCACAGCATGATTTGCTGCATCAGTTGCCAGGACAGCAACATTATAAAATGAATCAATGGGGAAAGACTCAAGAGGAGTTTATAGCAGTTTACAGCCATGCTAGCAGTTCTGTGAGGCTGCACAGCAGTGTTTTGAGCTAAATGCTAATGCTAGCATGGCAACACATCACAATGACAATCTGATGTTTAGCTAATTGATGCAAATTTTTTAACATGTTTAGTATCTCAATTTAGAGTGTTGGCATGCTAATCTTTGTTAGCAGTAAACACAAAGTACAGCTGAGGATGACGGGAATGTGATTAGTTGTGCAGGAATGTGAAACATACAATTTTGACCTGATGATGGTGCTAGGGGGGAAAAAGGATCACCTAAGGATTCTTCCGCTGGGGATCAATGTATTTACAAAATATCATGACAATCTGCAGTAACTGATATCAGCACAGTAACTTTAGAGTGTGTTTTTATTGACCATGATTTATTCAAGCCTTATCCAATCCAAGTGTGGATAAACTCACACTCACAACTGGGAGATTAGCAATCAAGCCTCAGCACTCTACTGTTACACATTAAGGTGTAAGAAAAGGGCAAGTATTCATTCTTTATACAATATGTAGCCTGTACAAGAAGTTGAGAGACAATTTCAAAAGCTGAGTTATGAGATGCACAGTAAAATATGAGGTAATCCATTTTGAGGTTCCGTTGCACACCACTGCTGCCTTTGTTAAAGCAGGTGTCATTTATTTTTTTCTGAAATGATAAATAGCCCTGCTCAGAAATACCATTAAAGTGCAGAGGGTAGCACACCTCATACAGACAAAACAAATAGTAGAAATCTGTTCTGCAGCATGATGAATGGTGATTCTGCCTCTCCCTGTGTGTCAACTCTAGTAGGCAAATTGTTCAGTCATTGTTTTCTCACCCAGGATGAAGGTACTGTAAAAGAATCGCTCATTTACAGTTGGGTGTATTGGCGGTAACTCCTGATTCCAGAAGTTACTGAAGAAACTGAAAGAAGGAGTGGTATATTTATAGAAGGCTATAATGTTTTTATGACCTAAGCACATTGACGCTATCAGCATTAATGAAAGTGAAAGGGTGTTTTAAAAAGTGAGATATGTCCATACAGAATTAGCAGTGAGCATCATGTAGGCCACAGCAGGCACTGTGCAGCCCATCTCAGAGTCTGCTATTGTCTTCAGTGGCACCTTATCTATAACATAATGCTGCACCATGACAGCGTGGATTGTGAGGAAAGCCACTGTCCCGATTACAGTTGTTAGGAGTAACAGTGACTACCAAGATACAGAATACAAGAATATATATAGCCATATATGGGCATGTGTCTCACAGAGATGATGTCAGCAAAGACCGCATGGGCTCCCCTTTCATTAGTAGAAATGGGAAGACAGAGTGGGTGTGTGCTCCTCTGAGCCATAAAGATAGACGCAGGGCATGCAGATAGTAGGGTGCGTGGCCTCAAGAGAGACAGGCAGGTTAAGTTAAATGAAGTGAAGGAAAAGAAGAAGCACATTAAGTAATGTCTATTACATGCAGATAAATAGCTAAAGGGGAACTTAGCATAGCTGCTCTAAGTTCAACATGGAATGAGAGGAATTGAAGGAAATAAAGGCATTAGCAGCTGTTCCAAAGCATCAGTGTTCGATAGACAGCACTGAAGGGAGAGAGGGGAGAGGGAGCAAGCAACAGAGAAGGGGGCAGAAAGAGAAAGAGAGCAAGAACAGAGGAGTGGCTGCTTTTGTTCAGTGTTCAGTGTTTTACTGATCTAACTGAAGGCTTCCTGTGTCAGCACCATGGGAAAGTCAGGTAAGTGGAAACTACACCTTGAGGGTTTTAACTTTGATTGTATCAATTTGGCCTGAGTTAGAACTTTGCCCCTTATGAAACTGTGTGTGTGTGTGTGTGTGTGTGTGTGTGTGTGTGTGTGTGTGTTTGTGTGGGTGTGTGCGGGTGTGTGTGTGCATGTGCGTGTGTGTGTGCATGCGCGCTCATGTGTGTGTGTTTGCTTGTTTAGTGTATGTGTGTGCAAGCTTTGCTATATTTGAAAAATAGGACAAAGCACATACACAATTGCACTTATTTCTTTTCCTCTTTAGTGGTGCTTTCCATGAGATTTTAAAACTGCTCTCACCGATCCTTTGTTTGTTGTTGAGTAGGTGCTGGCTGTTAGGCAGCATTGGTATTTGTATTGTTTGTGTGTGGCTGTTTCAATGTGCCTATTGTGTGAGCACTCGAGAGATTGCGAGACCTATGAAAAGGGCAGTGAGTGATAGGCACCAGGCTGAGGGGGATGATGTGGATGACGTTTTCTACACCATCATCTGTCATCGGGTTGTACTCACTGTCTGAGGTCAGGCAGTCTTCAGGTGGTGAAACTCTGACTCACAATTCAGCTCCAAGTTCATATTATGTCGTCATGTACACATCTTCCTGTAGCATCATCACATCTCCTTTGTCATATTTCTCTCTCTGGTTGGCTAACCCTTCCTGTCTCTGTCCCCTCTGTGTCTCAGCCTCGAAGCAGTTTGCTGAGGAGCTGCTTCAGTGTCACAATGACTTCAGGAGGAAGCACCAGGCTCCTCCACTGAAGCTGAGCAGCAAGTTGAGCAGAGAGGCTGCCCGGTGGGTTAATGCACACACAGATCAAATTACAGCTGAAACCTAATTAGCAAGTACTACGCATACTAGCCATTGTCAAATCGCTCTGGATAACAGTGACAGTTTGAGCCTAGCCTGTCAAATGAAATAGCTACAAACTATAATATAATTTTGAGGGTCTGGGTTTGTATTCATTGTAATTACAAGTTGTGTTGACAATTTGTTACCTCTAATTGCAGCTATATTAACTTTTCATATCATTATCATAAACAAAGATAATTTATTCTGTTGAGTAAATGTAAACGGGATCATTACCGTTGGAAAGGATAGAGGGGCAAATGTCTTGGATAACAGACTTTCAGTCCATTTCTTTATGCATGTCTGATGGTGCAATGGCAACAGCAACATTAAGCTGCTAAACAACCTCTAATTCTCTTATACTTGACATGGAAATGTACAGCAACATTCAAAGCACAAAGAATCTGTGTTGGGGAAAAAGAATGTCAATTCCTCAATTGATTTTAATACGTTAAAATGTATTTTAAAAAATGGCGTAGTATTTCATAATGTGAATGATAAACAGTCTACGCCTAAGGTGGATGTCTTTAAATACTGTATTTTTACTGTCTCTGATTGTAAACATTTGAGTTTGGAGATAACCTACCATTTAATGTGTAGCACAGTTCATTGGAACATGGTATTTTTACCTCTCCCTTTGTGTCAACTGACGTTTGTAAAGGCATAACTGTTTCGCCCCTGCTTAGGAGGAAGGTTAAGGCATCATTCGCTCACACAGCTGCATGTTTTGGGAATAATTTGTGGTTTAAGTTTAGATTTAGAACATTATCCAACAAAATAAGTAACAAAGCTAACTGGACTTGTAATGGAAGAGCAGGAGTTCGTCCTGTCATCCAAAAAGTATCATTAACTCTTGTGATCAACACCTGACATTTAACTTCTGTGGTTTATCCACACCATGTTCCATGAGTCACTGAGGTCACATGGCAGTCACATGATTGCCAATACTGTCTTTTCAATAGAGACATGTAACTAGAAGATGTGAACCATATCTTGGTAATACCACCCCAGATTGCAAATGCTGTCAACACTATGTTGATCAAACCTATAGGTTAGCATATACTCCTTTGTACAGTAGAGAGTGAACTTTCTAACAATTAAAAAACAAACTATTCCATGTGTAAATATTGTGTAAGCCCCAGATAGTCTTTTAACGGGTAACAGTATCAAACTTATTACCAAAAGCAGTTATTTAGAGAATCCGGTTTCCATCCAACACTGCAGATTTACACATAGACTAAACCTCTGAGGTAAGGGTTTTTTACTGTTTATCTTGAGGGGTGGAGGACAGCATGGTGCAGTAGGCTTTTAAAAACTGAGGCTTCTGGAAAGGCTACATCTGAAGAGGTGATGAGCTTCAAAGTATACACAACTCAAAATGGCATTTCTACAGTCTTCAGCAGTGCTATCCACAACTTTTATTTGTCCTCTGTTCCACAGTTATGCTGAAAGTCTGGCCAGCACACGGATTCTGAAACACAGCGTGGAATCCAGTAGAGGGAGCTGTGGAGAAAACCTGGCATGGGCCTCCTATGACCAATCAGGTACAGATCTATATGCATAAACACATAATCAAAATACTTACTTTTTAAAAAAAGCCCTCTCTGTGATCCTCCTGAGATACTTATACACATATGTAAGATCAAATAGGACACATTCCTCCATAGGTACAATAGGTTAGCCTGTGGGGCTTAAAGCAGACTGTCCTACCCTGAAACTGAACAGCTGGGATCTATTTCCCCTCCACTTCGCACTGTGTTTGAGAGCTCAGACACTATGACTCACTGGAGAAATATGTCAGAGCGGGACAGAGTGATTCATAAAACATCTCCTACAGTGCAGCACTGGGTGACAGAAAGTGCAGCACCATAAACATGCACCCAAAAGGGATTTAAAGCTCCAGGGTGCAGTCTTTTAAGTTGCTGTCATTCTGATCAATATGTACGACACAAGTTAGATTTGATTGTCCTTTAAGTTGACACTTTGTCCTGTGCACGAGCAGGAAAAGACGTCGCAGACCGCTGGTATGATGAAGTGAAACAATACAACTTCAGCCGTCCTGGATTCTCCTCTGGCACTGGTGAGGTTTACACATGAAGTGTCTATCCATCTCACTCACTTCCGTTCATATTTCATATTTCAGTGGCAACCTTCCTCTGACCTACAGAATAGTAACTACAAATTGGGCAAAATGACTAAATTCAATATCATAATAATAAAGTATTATTACAACCTTTCCGATATGAATATACAGTATGGCTGTGTGTGTGAGTGTTTTGCCATGATACATTATATCAAACACTTCCCTTTATATGTTTTCATCTTGTCTTGTCTCATCTAATTTCTCCTCTTTTTTTCAGAGCATTTATCTCAGTGTATCTTTTTCTTGCTTTATTTCTCACGTTTACTCAGGCATAAGCAAGGTTGTTGTTATTCCTGTGTTGATGTCACACCTCAGTCAGCGTGTGACTGTCTGATTCAGTGACCAGCCATGGGGAAACTGAGGGGAAATCACAGTCCTGTGTATCACTCATCAGCCACATGCCATTTCCAGTCTGCCCTAATTCCTCTAGATCATTTCCCATAGCCTCAGACTCTGTTTAACATGATCACACAGGAAGTAGATCAGTACTAGGAGCTTGTGACAGTAATTCACACTGATTCATATAAAGTTGTCTGATAGAGAAAGAAAGGAATAAATTGTACAGAGTGAAAGCAGAGGTTTGGGACTGGTGAGAAATTCCTATGTCTGTAAATATTTAGAAGAACTTAAGTCTGTGTGCACTCAATTTCCACTATGTCCTAACAGTCAGTTTTTTCTCACGCTCACTCTATTTTATGCCTTTAATTTCTTTCCATTTCTCATTTCACTCACCACCTAGGCCATTTCACAGCAATGGTGTGGAAGAGCACTAAAAAGCTAGGTGTCGGTAAGGCCACTGCATCAGATGGTTCTTCCTTCGTGGTGGCCAGATACTTCCCAGCTGGGAATGTCACTAACCAGGGACACTTTGAGAACAACGTCCTTCCGGTTAAAACCTCCACCTAAAGATCTGGATCTGGATCACCAACACTTGACTGAAGCCCAAAGGCATTAGTTTAATTTTCCAGGAGAGTCAAAATGTATCTGCCTGCACTGCTATGGGAAATACTCAGGAGAGCAATTCTTGCCTAGTAGAGAACCACACAACCATAGTTTGGAATGGTTTTATAAGATGAAATGCTTATCTGCTGGCTTAAAGTCCTAGTTGTAATTTGAAAAATAGACATGTGTATGATGCAGTGTTTAGAACGACGAAGCACTACTGTTAGACACTGCTAACAAAACATTCCCAGTGACCATTTGGAATATATAGTATTATCTTGATTTTGATGGTTATTTACATTGCCTGTGACAGTATTTAATTCATTATTGCCAATACTTTTATATTTTCACACACTGAAATACATCATAGCCTCACATTTGTGTTTACGTAAGTCAAAGGGACAGACTTTGTACACTTACATGTAGAGGCATTGCAAAGTAATTTAAGGCTAATGACTCAGCATGCTTGGTTTGAATTTGTGTTACTGCCACCACTTGTCAAACAGAAACCTGCAGTCCCCGGCTTGTGTTTTGTACTCTAATCAGTTTGTACAATAAAGTTGATAGAAATTAATTTGGCACCTGTGTGTGCATGCTTGTGTAATCTGTGTTGTGTGACATTATACAAGAGTGAGAAACAGAAGAAAATGAGAGTTTAATTTCATAATGACACATCCACTTTTTTAGAAAAATGTGACATCTGAGTCTGGCACAGTGTTGGCAAAGTCTAACTCTATGGAGTATGATTCATTTAAGAACATTTTAGACAATGCAAGCATTTGTACTTGTAAGCACTGATTAATGAGCATTTAAAGGTCTGAATAACTGTGAGACTTGCATAAATCTTCTGGGACCAAAAAAACAATTTAGCAGTGCAAAGTATTTCTTTAATATCTGCAGACCACTTCTGCAAAGCATGAAAACAATTATATGTAATGATAATCTTACAATGCAGAATACTTGCAATGTTTCTTTTAAAAAGCCATTACCAGAAATTATGATTTCGCCTTGCCTATTTCACCCAGTCCTTGGCATCTGCCACACATGAATAGCATGTGATGATTCAGTGTGCCTTTCTCTTGAACCCATTAAGTCATTTTTGGACAATATAAATAACCAAATTTGTTCTCATGAAGACTTTGATATACCGATGAAAAATAAGCCTTTTTTTGTTTTTCAGTTGCTTATACTTTAAAATAATAAAACAACATCAGCATCAAAAACAATTAACTTAGACTATATTGTTGTCACTCAGTTTGAGTGACAGCAGGTTACAATTTTGTGTTGAAAGTTTATATTTTAGATCACATACTATCAAATCAAAACATTTGAAATAATTTATAGATTTTACATTTACATATGATACTATTTAAACATTTTTTGACGTTAAAGATTGGCAAAAATAAAAATAAAAAAAGCATGGGGGTTGTTTTGTAGATATGGCAATGGCAATTTTACTTAATTTAGCACTTTTCATTACACATAAACTCAATGTGCTAATTCTGAAAATGGGGTAAGGAAAAAACAGGCCTTGTGAATTTGCAGAATATTAAGGACTGTGCTGCTCCTAATGTTAAAACAAGTTACACCAAACTAGCTGCAATATCTTCAGGAAAATCAGTCTTACAGTGCAGTCACAGCCCACATTGGAACAAACTTTATTTAGCAGATTTTGGGGATGCAACATACAGTAGCAGCGATACAGAAGAATCAGTGGCGTTTAGGCTTTATAGGCTGGAGGAGGGGTACAGGAGTCAAATCATCACCACTCACATGGTCAGCTCCTATAAAGAAGAGGGATAGAAAGACAGAAGGGACAGATAGAGAAAGTTGGTAATAATTTAAACAATGAAAACAATTGAAAATTCAACAAATAAAACATGGGTAACTCTAGGAGATGTTTCACATAAAAAAAAACATTCTCTGGGATAGTCAGTATGAGAAGCTCTCTTTTTACTTGGAAAACTTTTGCTAGTGGTGTTAAGGCAGCTTCATCTTGCTTTCCACCAAATCAGGAACAAAATCATCTGCGTCACTTACACAACTCAGTTATCTCAGTGTGAGTTGTTGCTGCCACCTAGTGGGCATTAAACTGCACGGATGACTTACAGAACCATAGAGGTTGCTCAGTTACTGGGGAAAAATTCTGCTTGTCATTTGTCCTCTGCTCTTTCTCCTTTACCCTCCCCTTCCACGCACTCCACTGCTCACTGGCTATGACTCATTATTTTGTTCACCATCTGCCCTCCCTCTACCCTCTCACTCTTCCTTCCTTGCTCCCTCCTCCCCCCTCCTTCCTCCTCACCATGATAGCGTTCACAATGTCATTCTTGTTGTGTTTCAGTGCACGGACAGCCTTGGCTCTTGACACATTGGCCTGAGCCATCACCAGCTCAATGTCCCTCTGCTCAAGACCTCCCTCATCCACCTGATGTACAGAAAGAAAGAAAAAGACAGAAAGACATCAAACATTTTACAGAGCACTACAACATACTGTACTGATATCAGTGTGATAGGTGGTCAGAAACAATAGTTTTGGCAGTAAGCACCTCTTCTTCCTCCTCATCACTCTCCTCCTTGATGGTGAGGCTAGGTGGGACAGGTGGGGCCAAGGGAGATGAGGTCACAGGCACCTTGAATTTCTCTGCGGCTGCTTTGTGAGCCTGCTGAGACAGATCCTCAATCTGAGAGGAGATGAGAGGAGAGATTGAGAGGTAATACAATACATGTACTGAAACTTGAGAGAGAAAGAAAGAAAGAAAGACTTACCTTTGCTTCGCCAAATACAATGTAAATATCTGATGCGGGGCTTTTGAACACATCTGGTCTGCTGATAACAAACAAGATACTTTTGGACTTCCGAATGGTGATTCTGGTCACACCGTGGACCGGCTTCAGACCCAGTTTAGACATAGCCTGCAGGCATGTATAGCAGCAGAGAGAGTGAGAAAGACAGACAAAATAACACACATTAAACAATATTCTCAAAGGAGCAATTGGTTTCATAATCAGTTTGATAATTTCTTTGACCACTTCATTAATTCTATTTTTATTCTTTTCAGTTTCTCTGACCTTGCGGGCCTTCTTCTCACTGCGGCTCTGTTTTGGTCTGTTTAGCCCTTCATCTGCAGAGGAGATAGACTGAAGGAAAATCCATATATGAATTCCTTTACTGCAATAATAATTTCAGTTTTGTTAATATCACCAAAAGTGACTCATCTTATACACAAAAACATTTTTGCTGCTATTTTGCAGTTGCCAGGCAGCTTTATTTTCTCGTGCACATACAGGAAGTGATGTATTTAACAGCAGCAGTAACAGCGGTTCGTAAAAAAAAAAAAGAAAGAGAAAGAACATAAATATCCTTAAACTTCATCAACCAATCAAAAATAAAAAATAAAAAAGTAGGGCAATAGCAGATTATCTCTCAAAAGTGCAAGAGCAAAGAAAAGCTTACATACCATGACAAATTACATACAGAGGGCCAAATATGACATGTGATTCATTATTTCAATGTGAAGCAAACTGTTTCCTTCTAATTGTGAAATCATTACTTTATCATCATTGTTTTACTCATGTCCTCTCTAGCATGCCATAGTTTTTATAAAAGATGTTTAAAATGATGTGGGGATAACTCAGTACAAGCAGAGATGAGCAGCTTGAACAGACTCACCTGGGGCTCTGATGGTCTCAATGGCTCTGGCTCCTCTAGCTCAGGCACTGACCCCTCACTCTCAGACTCATTACAGGAAGCCAAAATGGAACCTACACAAGCACATATTCGACATACATTCAAGTGCATGTAGTGAGGCTTATAATATCCTTATTGCTATAGAAACAAATCACCAAAGTAGAAGTAATGAGGGCATTAGTGACTCTATCTCATTAGTGCTATGCTGATAAATAGAGTGTTCATTAAAAAAATCCAAAAGCTCATTTAATCAACACCAGGAAATTTAATTAGCCTATGGGAAATGAATTTAATTATATCTCAATACTATGTGATTTTTAAATGATATGCAATGCACTATTGGTAACAAGAGAGCCCACTTCATCCATAATTCAAACAGTCAACTATATAATGCTGAGAATTTACATATCTTGTGATGTCCTTTGTCATAAAAGCACAGCGACTTCAAGCTATTCTGTCTTGGATCATCATTTTAAATTCAAACACATGTAGCCTACATGTATCACATTATAACAATAACTCCAGGTTTACTATAGAACTAGCAGAAAGACACACGAAAAGAGGCAGAAAGAAAAGGGTGGAGTGTATAACACAGAGCCAAAGAAATTTAGGGGATTTCTGAAGCTGACGCCATATCACATACAAGGTTCAGAAACAACTCACAATTGTTTTTGAAGGATAGGTCGATGTCTTCAGAAATCTTGTGGCTGTGGTTGATTGGACAGCCTGAGTGTCTGTCGGCTATTTGGTGGGCAGAGAAAGGCTGTATTTCCCGTTGACTGGATGGACCAGACTCTTTCTGCATATATCCATTTCTGTTTCCTGCAACTCCTCTGGGCTGGGATCTGTGACCACGCTGAGGCAGTTGACCATCATCCTCACTGTCTGTCTCTTCCTCAGCAAAACTGGGACCTTCAAGAGCACACATTAATTGATCATACTTGTATAAGGAAGCTCACATTTTACTTTGTTTTAACAAACTTTAGCTTATTTTTTGTTGCTTAAAACCAACCAGGAACAGGGGATTGGCAATTTTTCTTTTTGACAACAACCCCAATTTTCATAGCACCCTTTAACTGTTGTCAGTAACAACAAGGAATTCCTGTGTATCAATCTAACAAGTCATCATTTCCATACTCACCTCTGCACCTGTCTTGTGTGCTCCATGTGCGACCTTCCTCGATTTGTTTGTGAGGCTGGATGTTGAGATTAGGCTGAGACTGTGAATAGGACTGGGCACCGGAAGTAGGGTCTGGAACACATGCTGAATCCAGAGTCCCAGACCCAGGTGAAGACGACTCTTGGGTGGGCTGGGACAGGCTTAACAGCATGGCAGTGGAGAATGAGGGTGAAGAGACACTTGTGGCAGATGTAGTTGATGTAGAAAGGACATCAGTGACCTCTTGGAGGTTGTTGTTAGAAAGAAATTGGGAATCTTGTTGTGTTGTGGGAGATATAGAGCAAATTGAAGGGGAGATGGGGCACATGGTGTGTGAAGACTTGGCTGAGACAATAGGTTGGGATTCCTGCACAGGTGTGGGAAGATTATCCTCTGGATCTGTGGAGGCACAAGGTAGAGGGGAGGAGGAGGAAACGGGAGATGTTGAGGAAGAAAGTGGAGCCAGATAATATGATATGGTATCCTGGGAAGGTGGGCTGTGGCCAGTATCTATGTTGTTGTCATTAATGTCCACTGTGCTTCCCCCCTGATTATCAGATAGTGGTCTGTTATCAAGCACTTCCTGTTTCTGATGTAATTCTTGGTTCATTGCCGCCACATTGAGGTTGTCTGGTTTATGTGTGGCAGAGTTGCAGTATCCATGGCTAGAACTGCGACTGTCATCCCCCTGTATCTGTGAACCAGATTCTGCATTGTCTGTCTCAGATGTCCTCTTTTGACAGTACGGCAATGGAGCTTTGTTTTTTGCTTTTCTGCCTTTTTTAGTTTTAGAATTGTCTGCGACCCCCTTTGACCATCCATCTGCAGCAGCATTTAATGGAACAGAAGGTTTCTTTGGATCATCAACTGATTCAGGGCTCGAATCAGCATGACTGCCTTTCTGAGATGCCCTGTGTTTGTTCTGCTTCCCTCTCCTCCCATTCTTAGCAGCAAGTGGTTTATCTGTGCAAAGTTCCCCTTTAGGGGTGTGACACACAAAGTGCTCTGGACCATTCGGTGCAGGAGAGGTTGTTATTCCTTTTTTGTTCTTCTTATCTTTCTCTTCGCCTCTTTTAGCTTTGTCTTCTGATTTTTCTTCCTCATCTTCTTCCCCTGAGTTACAAACAACACACTGCTGTCCTCTAAAGGCATCTTCAGTCTTTGGTTCATTAACAAGTCTTTCAGTCACAGGACTGACATCAACTTTTCTTTGGCCTTCAGTGTGAGGCTCCACCACCTCTGGTTCTGACAGAGAACCAGAATTTTCCATCTTGTCTTTACAAGCTCTACTTGGTCTTGATTCATTAGATTTACATTTAGGAGTAAAGGAGCCAAATGATCCATGTAGCAAAGAAAATGCTTTATTACTCTCCGGAGTGCTTGTGTGACACTCTGGACTAGTATGACATCTTGACTTGGTTTTATCGGTTGAACTGAGATGTTGGTTTGTTACAGCTTTGTTCCCGTGAGTTTCAACTAATGGTACTGACATACTTCTGATACCTTCTTTTGAGGACGCTACCTGTCTTGTGTCTGATGTCTGGTTTATGGAACTGTGTGTTGTTTCTCCGTCTTCATTAGAAATTGTGTCAGAAACCTGAGGTGGCATCTCCTCAAGTGGAATATTGGACACAGACTCTCTGACATTGACACTCACACTCTGGGGTCTCACTTCCTCTGATAGCGCATTCAGACTTCCACACATAGCTACTTCCAAGGAGTCAAAGGCATTGTTTTTGCTAGAATTCTTCCAGGTGTCTTGTATTTGCATGTCTGTGTTATCTCCATCATTATCTGGATTTAGATTACTGACATCATCTTCTGGGAATCTGGAGCTTCCATCCTCCCCTCCCCCTGCTTCTGAGATCTCTTCAATGGACTTCCAATGGGCCAAGTTGGACTCAGAAGCTCCTTCTCCTACCAATTCTTCATCCGCCATCTGGTCCCTCTTACCACATAGACTGTTGTTATCTTCCTCATCCAGAACAGAACCCAGAACATTGTCATAATTTTTGCACACTTCACTGCCCATGTTGGGAACCACAGCCATCTGTGTACTCTGGCCATCTGTGTCACACATAAGCAGACTCTCCGCCTCTAACTCGTACCTCTTCCCCAGAGACAGGGAGAGAGACTCCCCTGCTCCCCAGACACCAAACTCAGCGCCTGATGATAATCCTAGACCAAAACCTAGCCCAATCCTGTCATCACACCATGCTCCAGCTCCAGGAGCCATCTCCCTGCTCGTGTCTGTTTCTGAGTTTTCCCTTTTGGGTGAGATAGCAAGGGGAGAGTGTGGAGATCCAACAGCTCCCAGCACCCCCTCATCAGCAGTGAGGGTGTTTTCCCTCAGGTTCTCCTGGGCAGAATCATTGGGGCAGTGTTCAGGGGTCAGGGCCAGATTGTCAGCAAGTTCTGAGATGACTTCTGGAGAGGCAGAAACAGGGATATTGCTGGGGTTGGGACTAGGGTCTTTAGGGCAGGAGAGAAGAAGAACACCTTTATTCAAGTCATTGGTGGCAGTGGCCATATTCAGAGAGGGTCCAGAATCAGTGTTTTTACACTCCACACTCATAGACTCAGCTGAGGGATTCCCATTCTTCTGGTCAAGCTCAGTGTCACTACACATCGCCTCTGCTCCTCCAGGCACCTCAGATTTATTGGAGAAAGACTTTGATAATACAAGTCTACTTGCTCCTACAGTCCTGTGGCTTTCTGGCTGATAATGACGAGGCTTGATGAGCAATTTGAAAGAGTCTCTTTCTGGTTTCTCTGTGGGTTCGTCCCCTGAATAATCATTGCTCTGTTTCAAATCAACATCTTTCATCTGGGGATTTTCCTCCGTCAATTCTTCTGGAAGAACCGAACTGTTAAAGTCTGTCATCTCCTGTGTGGGAGTGGCAGAAGGAGGATAGATGTGGAACTCAGCAGCAGGGTCAGGTGGAGCCTGAATGACAATAGGAGTGGTGGAAGGGTTAAAATGAGGGCTGTCTTTAAGCTGCTCAAGGGGGTTGGAAGAACCAGAGATATCCATCATCTCACTCTCACTCCCACTCTCATCCAGGTTGCTGGAGGACTCCAGCTGACAACAAATTGCTTCTGAATGGCAATCCACTAGTTGGTCTGTGCTCACTTGCGTGTGCAAAGGTTTTGTCTGACCTGTTTCAAAGGTAGATTCCTGTTCAGGGTCTGACTGAGGTTCAGGGGGTTTAGGTTCATCCAAATGTTTGGGTTCTATATTGTTGTCTTTGGGGTGTACAGAAATGGCTTCAGAAAGACAGGTGGCTTTTGGGTGATCCGCTAGTTTGTCATTGCTCAGTTGTGTGTGCAAAGGTTCAGTTTGATCTGTTCCAATGGTAGACCCCTGTTCAGGTTCTGGTTGGATTTCAGTTGGATCAAGTGCATCCACTGGTGTGGGTTCTAATGTTTGTGCATGCCTCTCAGTGCTATATAGACGTTCGTCTTCTTCTCCATTATAGGAGGCAGAATCTAATGAGTCATCTGTATCATCTTGGAAACAGAAGGCTTCGTCCAACCCCTCATTGATTGATGTCTCTGAAAGTGAATGAAGGAAGGATGCTGAGCTGTCCTCACCTGTAGGATCCTCCACTGCTTTGCTATCACGCTTCTCTTCCTCCTTTTCCTGCTCTTCTTCTTCCTCCTTTTCCTCTCCTTCTACCACTTTCACCTCTACCTTAGCTTCCCCACCTGCCTCATCATGGTCCTCATTGTCACTGTCTTCATTGTTTTCATCATCATTATTCCTGTCAGCAACTCCACTAGCATTGAAATCAACATCATCATCATCATCATAATCAAAATCATCATCCTCTTCATCATCATCGTCATCTTCAACATCCGCCTCCTCCTCTCCTGCTGCATATGCATTAACATCCTTTCCTTCATTTCTGTCATTAACTTCTCCTATTTCATTCTCTTCCTCTGTGGGGAAGAGGGTAATTTCCATTGAATCCGCCTTAAAGATAAGGCTTGTGTGGAGGGGAAAGGAGATGAGGGAGGCAGGGATCATCCTTTCCTCCTCTGGTATATCATCAGCACAGGCTGCCTGGGAGAACAAGAAAGAACTGGGGCTGAGCCTACCAAAGGCTCCAGGACAGAAGGCATCCAGGGGAATGACAGGTGAGTCAGGGCTAAGGCTAGATGAGGCCATGGTCATGTTCTCTGAGTCAGGAGTCAAGGCAGTGGAGGGTAATTCTGAGTGGTCATCCATCTGTCCATAATGTTCCTCTGATATACATGCCTCCAGTTGCAGTTTCAGGCCTGTCTGTATGGGTCTAGAGTATTCTGCTTTCCCAGCACTGGCCTCTTCCAGTGGGCAGAGTGAGCTTTCAGACTCTCCTCCATCCTCCTGGGAGTCACTGCTACGGCTGCTGCTGCTCCTTAGAGGGGATGTATCCTCAGTCACCCAGCAAGGACGACAACTTTCTCTGGAAATCTTGATTTCATCCCCTTTTGGAGCCTCTTCCTCCTCGAGTATCACTGTCCCTGTAATACCTATCTGTGAATTCATGATAAATTCCTCAGGACGGTACAGGCAGAAGTCCCCTGAACTGCTCTGGGCTATTTCTAGACCTACTCGTCCCTTTTCCTCTGCAACTTCATCTCCAATCTCTGATAAGGAGCTCACAAAGCAAGCAGGGGCCTCCTGTGCTTCTTCTGTGAGGAGCAGGTTGGGAGAAGTGGAGGGGGAGGTGGAAGATGTGTAAGAGGAGGCCCAGCTCCCTCCCTCTGCTGTGATATAAGAGCCAGAGGGAGAAGTGAGAGGGGAACAGAGTTCCTCGCTGTCTGAGGGAGAGCCAGGGGAGAGTGGGCACGCTGGAGAGCCAGGATATGAATGATGTTTAAGGTGCGAAGAACGAGAAGCCATCTTGATTGGGGTGGAAGGGGCAGTATAGTACAGGTCAGGGTCAAGAGATGAGGGCACACCCACTCGAAGTGGGTCAACAGTATAGGCTGGCTCAGAGAAGGACAAAGCAACTGGACAGGCCAGCTCAGATAAAGGGAGGGAAGGCACTTCGTCTTGAGAAAGGATCTGACCCGCTTCCTGGTTGTCCATCAAACGGTCATCTGTTGTGATTGGCTCTGGGGAGGAGGATGGCAAAACAGGGTTGTGAAAAGGGGAAGGGAGTATGGTATGGGGCTGCACAGGGTCTTTTTGCTGAGCCTGCTGTTTTTGAGGGCTTTGGGCTTGGCTTTCCTCTTTGCTGGTTTCCAGCTGTATCTCTTTTCCTTGTGACTGAAGACCTGAAAAGCTTGGGATAGCTGGCAAAGGGATAGCCTGACCACTTGGCTCAACCAGGGATTTCCCTTTCTGGATCTCTGTTGTTTTGATCAGTGTCTCTTGACCCATTACCACTCTTGTGTCAATGGTCTGTGGCTCTTGATAGTCACTCTCCACCTCAGAACCAGTCAGGACCTGGGAATAACACATTATACATACATATTAAAGTTCATATCAGTATACCACTAAAATGTGTCTGGTACCATATTTAATTTAAAATTGCAAACATGTTCTTACACACATAACACACACCTTGATTCTCTCCATTTTAACAGGGACATGGCGACCACATGGGCCATGACCACCTAACTTTCCAGACAATCTTGGTGTGTTGTTGCGATGGTCAGAGCCTTCAGGTTGAGGTCTTGGGGTACCAGAGGAGCTAGGGGTTGCATGAAATATTCGTGGTCCAAATGGAGAGGTGTATGCTGGGAGAAGCTTCTGAGGAGTACTAGGAGAAGGGCTAGAACCACTGTCACTAGGGGAGGAGCCGCTGTCACTAGGGGTGGAGTCAGTAGACGGGTGTCTGGTCATGTCTGAAAGCAGAAAAAGCTATGTAAAACAATAGTTTACATAAAGGGATGGAGCAGTTGCAATCAAAATCTTGAATTAGGAAAAAGGGGGATACTGTGAACAAAATATTCCTGCCTATAGTGGCCCACCATAAGGCTGAAAGTGGAAAACAATGCTTCTCTACATACAGTACAGTATCTTCATTCACCTCTCTGTTTCTCCTTCTCTTACTGTATCAACATACACAATTGCACAATTAGCCTTTGGCAAAAAGGAACTATCCACTTGTTCTTCCAGGCCATGCTATCATCTTCATTAACTGTCATCATGAATGGGGAAATCATTCAGATGAAATGACTGAATGAAAGAAAAGGGGGACAGAGGTGAGGGGAGGGAGTCTTCTGTATGAGAAAGAAAGGGAAAGTAAATGGAAGCAGATGGAATTGACTTACTGTATTCTTCATTTGTTTCAGTTCCACTGCCTGTCTTTAATGATTTTCTCACGTTGGATTGATTACCATAACACAAAACCATACATTCACTGAAATTTTCGTTAAGAACGTGACATGTGCCTTTTTCTCTATGACACACAGGGAGGGAACAGAACCTTCATTTACTCTCTTAACTGGGGCATTGCCACGGTGACCTGAATCCACATGCTGATTGGCCATTATAACACACAAGTGGATCAGCTCTGTGCCAGCTACAAAAGCACACACCCTCACACACACATATACAAACACTTGCTCTGCCAGGAACCCAGATACCACTTACTAATTCACTCACTCTTCTGTATCCACTCCTGTGTCTCCCTCAAGATTTCTCTCTTAACGTTTTCCTATCTAATCCTCTCTTCAGTCCTGTTTTACACATGAATAAATAGCTGCCTCCCCTTGTTTCACTTTTAGTTGTGACTCTTCGCTTCCTTCTCTTGCCTCCATGTTCTTTTTACCTTTTGACATTGTATATCTGCTTTGCTTTTCCTCCCTCACTGCTCTATTGCCCTGCCTGTGATGGTGGTGGATGCAGTCATCAGCACTTAGCAGCCCTGCCTGATCATTGCCCCAATAATAAGCGCTAGGTGTATGTGTGTGCATTCTGCGTCAAATCTGCCACTAATCAGAGAGATGCGGAGTTAAGCATGCACAAAAGCCAACTCATGTTCTCCACATGCGCTACGCTAATATTGTTAATAGGTATTGAACATTGTAATTGTTGAACATGTAATTGTGATGTATATTGGGTTTTATCTTGCATAGCCTACTAAAAAGGCACCGAGCTTCAGTGACCATATGCACAGGCAAACAAAAATCCAGTCCACCTGATTTATAGAAAACAGCTACATTGAACACATTCAGAATAATTGTATCTTTCTCCCTTATATGCTAGGCATTATAATCCCAGTTGGACAGCATACATTTTGAACTACTGTTTTGCTAGGCTTTTAAACAAGTCAGTGACATGTATTATGCCTGCTAGCATAACTGTCATCTCTTTGCTGCAGATTCAGCACTGCAAATAGTCCGTGGATGTCTGCCTCTCTTCCCCTCACTGGCCCAGCCTGAGAGTCTCCTCTGGGGGAATGCAGTAAAATCGAGCACCCAGCTTGCCAAACGAGGAGCAGGCCGCAGCAAGCTGAGCAGACTGGAGCTGCGTCACAGAGGCTGCAGCGCTGGCCTGTCAGCCCCAAGGGGAGCATCTATTACAACTAAGATTCAGATTGAATCATGAAGAGACACGCCTGTAGTCTCATATGTTTCTTTGTCTTTCTCCATCTGCCCCCCCACCCCTTCTTTAGTTATAATCAGTCCCCCACTTTCATCAAGTATCTGCCACAATACAAGTTATAACCAGAGCATCTGACAATTCTCTCTCCTCCCTCCTCTGCCAAGATTCGGGGCAAGAAAGCTTAAAATAATTTCAAGCCTAAGAACAGTTTAGGGCAATGATGAAGTTAAAGCAGGGACATTTCCACAACAGCAAACCACTGAAAACAACTTCCAGTAGAGAGGAGGCAGGGAGTTTTCTTAATGCAGATGAGAGATCGGGAGGGTCAAGATTCTATTGATGTCCCCTTGATTACAATCATGCAATCAGAGTGAGAATGTCACTGGAACAAAGGCTTGTGACCACTGTGTCTCTGAAAGTTATTGCACGAAATATAGGTTTCATGAGTCCGGGGTATACTGTTGTAAACACCTGACAGTTATGATGGCTAAACTTAATGGCCACCTTATCTACTCAACCTTTCTCTCTCCCTATTATAATTTTCCTTTAATTACCTTTTTCATGATTTCACAACTTCAGATATACAGCAGCAACACGAGGAATAACTGGACCAGATAAAACAATTGGCAACAATAACAAAAGCTCTTGTGGTTGTGTTTGTGTTTTTCTACAGAGTGCTGCCATGCTGCTGTGTCATGCTCCTGCTGAGGCTGGGGGAAGGGAGGAGCAATTCTACACTGCCCTTACCCACAGCTCACAAAATTGCTGGGAGGATGTGGATACAGATTCCAGGGCTGAAGATGGGGCAGTGGGAGGAGGGATTGGGGTAAGGAGGACAGGATTAGGAAAGGGGAAGATGGGGCTTGGGGTTTTGATAAGCATGGGGTGGAGCGCTGGAGGGGGGGAATTACACAAAGGTTTTGGAAGTCCAAATGTGCATTTAGACGAGAGATTAGATTTCAGAATTTAGCGCATAGGAGTGCATAGAAGTGGGCTGGGAGTTCACAGTTCTGGGTTGGAGGCTTTGGGGAGGCTGCTTATACCTGGGAGCTGGAGGGGGAGACAACATGCTGTTTAGTGAGGAGGCCAATATGCAGCCGAATAACAGCTTACACAAACTGCACATGTCAACAGAAAGATAGAAATGACCCAGCTCTAAACTGACTGTTCTCCACATGCCAGTTTCAAACAGATTGTGTTTAGCTAACAGTATCTTACACTATCAAAAGCTAGTCTCTGTAATTATGCCATGCTTTCTCATGCTAACTCACCCCCTACTGCCCCTCCTGCCCCAATCTATGTAACACTATCCACTTGCTCTACACTAACCATCCTCTCTTCTCTTGCTTTCTGTCTTCAATTATATATATTATATATATTTTATTACTTTTTTCTTCCCATCCCCAACCCCAGAGATCCTACCTGGTCCAGGAAGCCCTGTTTCCTCAGCTGCCTGCTCTGGATGTTTGTCGGTGGGCACAGATCTGTGAGCGTTCTCCCCCGGCATGCTTCTCGCTGGCTCTCTTTGGCTCTGACGCAACAATAAACCATACAGCCGGAACAGACAAGGTGAACAGGGAGAGGGAGTGAGAGAGTGAGAGAAAGAAGAAGAAGGGGAGGGCCCCCCCCCCGAATGCTCAGCGACCCAACACTCAGATCTTCCCTGCTGCACGTGTCTGTCTACTTGTGTGCATTTGAATATGAGACAGAATGAGACAGACAGGGAGAGAAAGAGTGAGAGATGGAAGAAGAGGCTGGTCTCTCTCTCTCTGTGGTGCAGCACAGTGATGCTGCTGTTGTGGGCGTGTGTTAGAGCCCCATGATCCAGTTCATCTGAATATGTGTGTGTTTCTATGTGTGTAGAATCTGAGAGGAAGCTGCAGTATTCTCTCTTAATGCCCAATTCCTGCCTCCCTCTCTCCCTCCCTCCTGCCTCCCTTCCATCCTCCCTGTATCCCTCCCCCCCTTCTCTCTCAGCCAAGCTATGACTGGATCTTGGGCGATGATGTCAGCAGATTTCCACTGCTTTCTCAGTGCTGCCCTCAACCTTGAAGGAAAGAACCAGTACTGCAAAAACATGAAGATAAGAGAGAAATCAAGTAAAAGAAGGGTGATTCAAGGAAAACAAAACCAACGGAGAAAAGGGAAACTGAAAACAATCAAAAAGGGCACAAATGAAACCTACAGGTATACTGCTAATTAGACGCTCTGCATCCTGATCTGATTGCATTACCAAGGAATCAAAGGGGAGACAATTCCCCCGAAGGGCAGCTATAGTATCTGTCTCTGCTCTCCATCCTAGCCACCACTCTTGCTTGTTCTCCTCAGTTTTTATTCCCTCTACTTTTAAAGCTAACAAATAAGGGAAAAATAGATGGAAATAAAAATACTGAGAGGGGGCGGCAGCACTGAGCTGAAATGATGAGCAAGGGTAGTTTCCATGGCAACCAAAAATTTCCCAGGTTAGAGTGCCAGCTCAGCAGAGGTAACTGCTACTGCTTAGCCTCCGTGCAATCCAGGTAAACTCAACAAATGTAGCTGTTGATGAACTCAGTTTTAAAAATAAAAAAATAAAAATAAAAAGATAAAGATGTATGTGAGTTCTCAGCTCACATTAACCCCCTAATTGTAGCACAGCAGCACTTCACGGGTATCAGTCAGAGACAAAGCAGGAACCAATACTGTCTGTTTCATATAACTATACTGTTTATGTAATGTATTTGGGTAGTAATAAGGCTAGATTGTTAGTTTTATTAAGAAGGAAACCATGCAGTCTTTCCAGTATTGGCTGAACCTGCACACTGCTAACCCATCAGACAGGATATACTATGACCAATATTAGAAGTGCTAGCTGGGCTCTTTGTCAGCAGTCCATCAATTGATCCATTAATCCCTGACTATTGGGAAGAAAGAGGTAGGCACTATGGCTCTGGATCATGTGATGGCTTGTTAGGGAAACAATTCATTTTCCTGTTTATCATTTCCTGTTATCTTATTTTCACCCTGGTTTTGTATTATACATTGGCTCCCTCTCAGTTTAACTTGTTTTCTCTCTTGACCCCACCCTGGCTTGCATTTGTCTTCTTGATTATGTCAGAGTGCTACTGATGGCCATCATGTTGTGTAAGCAGTTTCAGGTCCGCATCTAGTTGTTTGTTATCGAGGATGTGAGAAGATGCTAATAATAATGACGCGCTCAGTATTCCAGAGAGGTATGCCATTAGCTGTTAGATGTGAAATGAAGCATATTCTGTCTAAATAGCCCACCCAATACAATCTAATGCAATAAGCCCCTGACTGTACGCACCTGAAGAAAATATGCACATCACACGCTTGCACCCACATCCTGAACCTGAATCACAAAGTCAATCATGAGACTCATGAGAATTAAAAGACAAAACAGTTAAAAATGGCAATAAAATTTTTTATTCCATCACAAGATGACACACATTCACGGAGATAATTAAGTTATTCCACTCTATTCACATTCTGATAATATGCACTTTGTTTAGGCCAAAATTCAACAAGTCGCCCGGGTGCGTATGTTTTTGACATGTCACTCGCAGATGCAAAGACTAACTTGTTGATCCTATAATTTCTACAGAAGGACTTACTGTGGTGTTTATTTCTGTCTCTCTCAGGCTCCAAAACTCTTGCTTTTCATCACCATAGAAACAGGGAAAGCCCCACACGTTGCCAAGGGAACCAGAGTGAAAATATGATTTTTTTTCTGACAAAGTATGAGAGAGCTTTTCTGCAACGCTGCTCCGTTCGGAGTGTGAACGTGGGTGTACATGTGTATTCCGTCTGGTCCCATTTAATTGGGAAAGCTGATTTAGATGAGTCTGTAAATTTTGGTTCACTTGGCCATGTCCTCAGCCACAGCCTTTCCTATTTTATCCTTCAGGTACGCCAATTTCTGCCAGTCTGTCTTCAGCTCCAGCCACTCAAAGTATGGCACCTGAAAGAGGACAAAAAGGTTGAATTTGAAAACATTTTTAAAGAGCTAACGAGCAAGTACCTTCTAATTGCCAGTGTGTGCTTAAGAGAACACAATTGTAAAACTTTTACGGTTATTAATTTACAGACTGGTTTTCAGTTTCAGGTAGTTAAAACATCCTGCTGCACTGCAAATCTGAGAGGCAAGTGAAGTTACTATTGGCTGGGGAGATTGGCCTAGATGAGGCAGAGCTGCGGCTGGAGCTCTATTTATACCACAGACTGCAGCGGGTCCCACCTGACTCTCAGCTCTACTAAAGTATTAGGTCCATTGTTTGCATAGCCTTAGACCGTCAGATACATCAGGAGCAGCAATGCTCTGCCTCTGCTCATTCAAATATGACTCACTATCATAGCAAACACAACACAAAAGAAAATTCCTTTTGCAATTGGCTTTAGTGAGTGTGTAATACAAAACAAATCTGAAGAACAAACAGCTCAGTTCACCTTCTCTGCAGAGACGGAGAAAAATAACTTGATCACTTTTACTTTGAAGTAACAAAATCATGGTCACAAACACTGCTACAAAGATGGGTTATCCCATCTCCAGCCTCTCCCTACCTCCACTGTGATTAAGCCAGCCAACTGGAGATGTCGCTTCATCATGGTAAATCGTCCCAAAAGGTCTTTACTCTTTGAGCCAAAGTTTGGGAATTCCCAAGCCAAGAAAGCAAGCCTAAAAACAGAAAGCAAAATAACTTGAGATAGCTAGGGGAGAAGAAAAGCAAAAATAAATCTTTAACAACCCCCAAGCCCACATGATTCTCCTCTATGACTCACCACCGTGCCCCTACAGGTAAAGCCTGATCTCCTCCTCCACTGGGTATATGAGGGGCTTTCAGCATGGACATGTCAACTGGTTTGTTGTCACAATCCACTACCAGCTCCCCATCTGATGAGAGACAAACATGCCAGTTGTTAAAAAAAGAAGAAAGAAAAAAATAAGCTCTCTGACTCAATGACACACACTGATGTTGTAAATGTCGCTTTCAGTGTAAAAATCCTGTAAAATTCCAGTAGTGAAAGGAACAGACATTGTGACATTTGATCTCAATAGATTTATATGAGCTACGTAGGCCCCCTTACCAATAGTCCATCCATAGAGTGTGTCAACCCCAGTGCGAAGGGCCTCCGTCCTACCAGCCACCAAACTCTGTAAAGCCTCTCTTAAACTGCTCTGCAGGGGGGAGAGGGGGGAGCTGCTGATTGGGACAGTCAGGGCACTCAGAGAGGATGGAGTATCTGAGGAACCCGGATGCTCTAAGTGAAGAGTAGCAGCAATATGGAGGAGCTTCAGCTGATAGTTCTCCACCTGAGTTGGACTGCCCTCTACAGACAGAATGGACAACAGAAAGAGAGTGAGTGTTGTGAAGCCATTTGCATTGGTGCTTATCAAAACCAGTATGAGAATGTTTTATTAATCAATGCTATGCATCATGTCTGTGAGAAAATGTTATTTATGTGCCTGTCTAACCACAAATCTATTGGTGCTACACTGCCATCTACTGTGACAGAATGGTATTTTGGCAGTGAGCTCACAGAGCCTCAAGAGTCAACACAGCAGTTCTGGATGTTGAAAGATATGTAATGTATGATAACATGGGAATGCCTGTTAATGTTAATATACCAGCAAATTCAACCAAGCTGAATGAAACTGTAATGTCACTGTAGTCTTAATGGTTTGGTGAAAAAAGTGTTTCAGCATCGTAAATGTAAGATTAAAACAACTTCACATGTGACATTCTTTGGTTTAATTATATTCTGTCATTTTTTTTTCATAAATTTTTCTAATTAATCATTCAATGTAAATTAGATAAAATACAGAAAAGCTGCAAATCCTTAAATTTCAAAAGCTGGAGAGAGTGAAGATTTGCCAATTGTGTTTGATAAATGACGATATATTATGACCATTGTGCTCTGTTGTTTCTGTCTCAAGGAAAGTTAGGGTAGTCACTTGGAGGGGGGCATTCTTACCAGGAGCCTGAAGCACTTTCACCGGCTACTCCTAGGTTAAAGGAGCAGGTGCTTTACTCCAACGTTCCCCTGAACTGCTGACAGTGATGTATGTAGCAATAAGTGTGAGCTTAACTGCACTAATACAAAGCGTGTATCTGCATATTATAAATTCACTAGCTATAGAAGAATGAACACCCACAGCTCTGTGTCTTACCAGACAGTTTGGTAACGTGATTCTGTTGTGTGAGGGGGATGAGGTACTGGGGCTTGGCCTGCTGTAGCACACACAGAGACCAAACAACATCTGTCTGCAAGAAGGGCTCCAGGCCTGAGAGAGAGTCCTCCATCACAGAGTGAACCTTTACACAAAATGGCACATACAGAGAATTAAAAGGTAGCAAGTAGAAGCAACAACGTGCAGTCAACACACAGCCTGTAATATCATTAGTACCTTGCTATAGAACTCTTCTCCTTTGCTGGGCTGAAAGCCCAGTCGGGCAAATGTCATGAGCAGATTACAGAGCTGAAGAGTACTGTACTTCTGACTGTTTATGTAGTGCTGGTGACAAAATTGACAGAGAGAGTTACACAGTGAGTGAAAGAAAAACTTATTCAAATTATTGAGATTAGAGATTAAGCACTTCTCAAAATGAAGTGAGTTTAAGTTTGTCTTGGGTGTATGACTGACCTCAGCAAAGGCCTCAAAGAGAGGGATATGAAGCCATTTGAGGAAGCCCAGTGATTTAGCGCAGCGTGTGACATCAGCAGAGCTGAGCTCAGGGACTCTGGGTAACAACTCTGAGGCCATTCGCTGAAATACCTGAGAATGGTGGAAATTCAACTTCCCTATAAAAGGGCAAAGACAAAGTTGTTACTGTTGCATGATACAGTATGATATTGGGCAGACAGTGCCTTAATCTGTCGGTAGACATTAAGCTGTTTAGCCATGAGATTTTATGCCACTAGCCTAGCATAGATCTGAATTTTCAAGTTTATAAAATGGTATTATCTATAAAAAGATGCATGATGAAAATATTACAACAGATACTTGCAACAACAAACAACAGACCAGTTATGCTAACATTAAATCTTACATTTTCAGTGTTAAACATAACTAAATATAGTACCCACAGTCCCTTGGCTATGGTATTATATGTATTCACTGGTCCAAGTTGAAACACACCATAGCTTTCTCTCAACCAGCTCCTGCTTTGAACTTTATCTGCTGTCTGAATTCAAAAGGTAACACTTTAAGCCAATCCTTAAAACACGGACTGTATGTATCAGGTCAAGAAGGCAATATGAAGGTAAAAAATAAAATGACACTTAAGGCATGGATATACACTGTGTTAATTTGGCTTATGCGTGCCTTCAGTGTTACTGGGTATGTTACAGTCATAAGTGTTGTTACCGTATGCAAAAGCCATGTCCAGTAGCAGTTGAGTGGAGAGCTCTGATGACGGTTTCTGGAGAAGGTAGTAGGACAAAGCTCTGAGCAGCGGGACAGATCTGCGGCTCTGAGCTGCCAAAGACACACAGACTTTGCGGATCTCTTCTGCTGAAAAGCCCTCTGCAAGCTCCAAAGCCTGCAATAGACATAGATGGAAGGGTGGCACTCTGGTTTTGGATAAATTGTACCTTCATCCACTGGTGTTCCCCTACGTTTAGGGAAGATTCATGAAGTGCTGTTCATAGGTGTACAGTTTCTTCCAAGACATACAGTGGTCTCTGTTTTAACAGACTGGCCTCTCCAGACTTCAGATCTATTCTAGCCTGCATACTCATCAGCGACCTTATGACATTACATTAAAATTCCATCTCCAGGAGAAAATAGCTTTCCCCTGACAGCAATTCATATCCTAACTAACTGGTATAGTATACAGTTAGTTTAAGGTAATATTAAGATTGACATATTAAACTGAGCTGTTAACTCTACGTTAAATGGATATTTTGAACTCTGATACCTTGTCTTCAAGTCTGTCTATCAATGTAGGTGACAAGCGTTGTCGTCTGGACATCAGTGCGCTGACAGTTTTAGCATCAGCGATTTCAGTCCAGCGCAGTTCCAGCTGTTTTAATGCAGAATTTACTATTGTCACGTCCTGCTGTCCTTTCCTGCCTGCTCCCCAATCTGCCAGGTAGGCCAATTGCTTGTAGGTTAGCCTGCGGAGTCGCCACAGGACTTCAGTCTGGACAGAACTGAGTACTGAATCATTGGTGGGCACACCCATAATCCATAGAGTTCGCAAGACAGACACTAGAGTGCTGTTCCACACTGAAGACACCTGGGGAAAAAAACACACACACACACACACACACACACACACAAAAATGTGTCATCAATCCGAACAGGCAAGCACAAAGCCTTGGAAAAGATCATATCATGTCAGTCACTTTACATGATGACAGTACTAGTCCACCTGTATCTGGTTTCCTTACCTCCCGAGATACAGTACCCATCATATCCAGAAGCCTTGAATCTGTCATCAGTTCTGGTTGTTGTTCCTTAAACTTGCCCTTTGTCCTTAGCACCAACTGAGCCCACTTCATCAGGCTATTGGCAGCTTGATTACCATTTCCTCCATGCTCTGCCCAGGCAAGCAGGATGTCATCTGGCACTGCTGCCTTTTCCACCAACTCGTCCAGCTGGGTGCGAGTAGGCATGTTTGTAAAAGTGTCTTCCTTGGTAATTGTCCTTCCCTCACACATTAACCTTTCTGTCACCCATGGCCAGACCTGAGCCCTCTGCACCTCTGCAGGCCCAGCCACAGGCAGAGGCAGGCGGGCAGCAGCAGCTGGAGCTGAAGCCTGGGAGGAGGCCCTGCAGAGCAGACGGGCATATCTGCCCAAGAGGCGGCCGGCCATCGGGTCTGAGAGACAAGAGAGTGGCTACAGGTAGGAAAGGAGAGAAAAGGTTTCTCACAATTCAGCAGCCGGCGTCACCATCCCACATCCAACCTAATAGTGGCAGAGGAGTTCAGCAAGAAGTGTGATTAAAAGGAAAGGTTAACAGGTTATAGAAACATCTCAACAATGAGCCATACCTTCATTATCTCAATTTAATTTAGCAACAATTACATACTGTCAAATATTAAGTTAACCTTCATGCCAACCAAATGCTCCAGCACTGTTTCATTAGCTATTGCTTTTGGTTACCCAACAAGGGAACACTGGTTGTGTAACGTTAAGTCCACAACGCAGGAACTTTTCTGAGGTACACAATGATAACAACGTAGACAGGTTGAGATCAGCTAACGTTCTATGTGTCGTTGCATTTTTGACAGAAACGCCACATCCCGTAATGTAAAGGTAATGTCAATTGTGGATGTTTCTCCTGTCATGTAACGTTAACGTTAAATCCTGACCTTGTCGCGAGAAGGAAGAGACACCGGCAGTGCTTCACTCTGTCAACTATCATAAGTTTTAAAAACAAAGGCAGAATGCAGACAGATCTCATAGCACCATCAGCTACTATTATTGATCCACGACTTACCAGAAATGAACGATAACTTTGGTGAAATCTGTTCACATGGAGCTGTCAGAGGTAGTCGCAGGAAAATGACGTCGTGGGGCGGTATCACGTGACCCGCGGACGCAGAAGGTATTGGGCCAGAAATGTTCGACTCATTCCAAAGAATTTGCACTCCAAATATGTAAAGTCACAAATAAAATCTCTCCAGCAGACGTTCACATGTTGGGCAAAAAGCACTAAACGTTTAGCTACGTTTTTAAACCCTACCGGCAGTGCAGTACGTTTGCTTAATGTGTTAAACTTTAATTTAACCAGGAAAGGCTCATTGACACTGAGAGTCTCTATTGCAAGAGCCTCCTGCCCAAGATAGGCAAGTGGTTATATAAAATTTGCAAAATAAAATACAGATGTCATACAAAGCAAGAACAACTTTATTCACAATAACTGTGTTCAAAATCAACACACCGTTTCTTTTTAAATAAACATTTTATTACATTTTGTCCGGGTTGTGTCATCTTTAGGTGTCAGGGTCAGTCAATACGTTTTAAAAGTTTGGATATTAACATTACACTCATTTAAGAGTTTATTGGGTAAACCCAGCTAAAAATAACACTGCCTAATGTGAATGCAGTTTCTAATATTTTGTCTACCTTAAAGCTGGGGTAGACAATTTATTCCAGAAGCATTTTTTGTAATATATGTTGAAAATCTCTTTACATCCAGACAACAATAAATAAATTAATGCTCTGACACAATAATTAATAAAAAACACATCTTCTTGTTTCTAATTGCTTTGTATGCAATTATGTTGAGTACATGTCTGCACTGTTTGCATATTTGACCGTTTTATTAATAAAGCTTTGGGGGGAAAAGGAAAGGAAAGGATTCTTGTCTATAGCTGATGGTTTTGGTTTTACAGGGCCCAGTTCAGCACAAACAAAACATAGCAAAACGTTTATTTCAAATGAAATGGCAATGCCTTGAACACCTTGTTGTGTACACAAAAGCGCACTGCACTTGACTGCCTTTTTAATTTGGCAGTGTTAATATACATATCGCTGCCGATTGGGTAACACCTCTCACACTCACCAAACAAGAGTAGTACCTCAAAAAAACCTATTGCACAGCTTATGGAGGAAACATGTCTTTCAACCTGGAAACCATAGCAAACCGGTGCAAAACGTTTTGAGATTGAACTTGCCCCAGATTTCACAGTAACTATCCTTCTCTGATCATTTAGTTCCATCACAGGACATCATGGCCTGATTAAATTATTAGGGGCCTTGGGACAAAAATTGCTGCTGGCAAGAAAGACACAACTTGTTTTTGATATTGTTTTACTTTTTGCAGGATAGAACGCTGGGACAAATGATTTGTGTGACTAAGGCTGCCTTCTCATGTTAATTAGTAAGTGAAAATATCAACAGAATAGTTGTACAACTTCCTCCTACAAGTTTCTCTCATTTTCTGTTTTTCTCCACTGCTTTTCTGTCATCCTACTCCAGTCTTGTTCCTCTTTGCAGAAGGCTGTGTTTTTATTACTCTAACAATGGTTCTCAGTCCCATACCACAGCCATGATGTACAGGTGTTAATTGCATCAACATCGCAAATTAGTACAGAATTTAGAACCACAGCTCATACAGTGAACCCCAAACAAGTTTATTGTAGATATTACTCAACCTGTTTGGTATGGAGAACAAAGAAAACTTTGTTTCAGTAACATTCAGACACATTACATGTAAGCCAACAACTATGGTAGTGGTCATTTTGCAATGTCAACATTCTTTAGAAATTTTATGTCTTTATAATAATAAGCCAACAGCAAGATAGACATATTAGTCTACATACCTGTCTAGGAGGAATAGGGCCAATTCAGGAGTGGTTTTGAATCCTTTCAAATCCCACAATTCTGTTGAATGACCAACTAAGGTTGACTCTTCCTTTATCGCTTTACTGATCCTGCCCCAGTATCAGCCATAACCATAAAATACAACATCAAAAATAAAATTTCTTTAAAGAAAAATCTTCTCCTGTTTCCTTTTAACTGGCTATGTACCACTTCGGTCTATGTGCCATAAAACATTTTGTCTGATTTCGTATTGAATAGGACCAGGTGACCCAGGCATTAAGAATAAATATATAGAAATAGCCAATCTTCTTGCTGATGGTCTCATTCACTTATGTTGTGTTGGTCATACAGAAGCATCAGTATTAAACTGAGACATAACGAGTTAAAAAAAAGTCCTTGTAGTCCATTTAACAAAATCCACCAACTGAGCTTAAAATTAACAAGGTCTTAGAGGGTCACTCCGGCATTTTGGTATTGCACTTCCACGTAGTTGGGGGACTCACAAGAGACAGATTTTTTTTAAAAGAACGGTTGAAATCAAAGCAACACAAACTGAGATATCGAGATATACTAGTCCTCTTTATGGGTCAAGCTCCAGAAATGCTGGATCCTACATGATGGAAGTCAATGACGTCTTTCTTTCGACCTCTCTTAAGATTTCTTTTGTGGTGCATTAACACACCTAAAATTTTTAAATGCAAAATATTAATATTGTTTTTTATTTTTTTATTTTGATGAACTGACCCTGTAACATAGTGTGTGTATCTTTAGATATGTATCTTGGTCCCTCTATCCATGCTTGTCTCTCACTCTTTTGTTGCCTCATCATCTCTTCTACTCTCTCTCTCTCCTCACCTGTCCCCCCATTAATGTGTAATTAAAGCTGATAAAATTGGGCTGATAACATAACTTTGATTACAGAGCCAGTGTCACTCTACAGTATACTTTACAGCAAAGTACAATATTGACTCACTTAAACACAACTTATCTTACATGGATCTTATTTACCCAGCATGCAACATGTTCTGGGCAGGAACAGTTAAGGGACAGGGTGACCTTAGCTATGGTTTTACTTACTTCTTTTTAAATACAGGATAATAAATAATAATAAAATTATTATGGGATTCAAGTAATGCTTTTTAAAATTGAAGTTTGTTACCATGTAGTGGAGTGATTTACCTTAGTTATAGTAAGAAGGCTGTATGTGTTTTGGGTAGGATTGTTCTTATAGGCAATATTACTAATTAATTATATTTTATAATACATTCACTATCTGCAAGTGTATCTACAACAGTGCACCTTTTTTAACCTCTACAAGTGTAATGGTCATGAGAGGTTGTTAATATGTAGAGGGCATGGTAAAGAGAGCTTCTGACGCATGTCTGATATAATGACCCTCAACAGCCTAGCACAGGTTACTGCTGGCCTTGAATGCCACTGACTGTGTTCTTGATATTCTTCATCAACCACTTAGGTCTTATTTTTAATAAATGTTTGTACATAAAAAGTAAATAAATAAATACTGTGTCTCAGTTTCAGTATTGTTAACTGATCAGAGGAATGTTGACGGTGCTGGGACATTTTGTTTGAGTGTGACTAAGGCGGCCTAGTAAGTTAAAATATAATAGACTGTCGTACTGTTTTGCAACTTTTGAAGTTTCTTTCCTTTCTTTCTTCACTGCCTTCCTGTCATCCTACTCTACTACCTTTTTTGCAGAAGGCTGTGTTTTTATTACTCTAACAATGGTTCTCAGTGAAGTGCTACAGCCCTAAAATGTACAGGCGTTAATTGCATCAACCTTGCAAATTAGTACATAATTTAGAACCACAGCTCATACAGTAAACCCTGCACAAGTTTATTACTCAACCTGTACAGCACATCAAATTTAAAAATGTATGTGCTATAACCACACATAATAAAACATAGCGTTATGGGACTTGGTTCAAGTTTTGTAGGAGGGTGCTTTTTATGTGCTAGTAAAAAAATCATCTCTCTAGAATAGTAGTAGTAGTAACAGATGAGATTTTTTGTGAGTTAGGATGGTGGAAAACACCTGCTAGGCATCACACTCAGACTAAATGACAAATGAGGTGCACACACCTGCAGAGAGGAGTGTATTAATCACATGTGGTGGTAGTGTGGGGTAGAAGCTGTAGACAGATGAGGAGATGGGTGAAGACAGAAGGAAAGTGTGGTCATAGCCAGTCACTGTACCACTTAGCCTGAAGGAGAAGGAGGAGGAGGAAAACCAACTTCAGAGGACATGCTGACACCATTAACTTGCCTCTGTGGCTGATGCTATCTGGTATAGCCCTGCTGATTAGCCGGTATTGGCATCAGGTGTGACTGCTAATTAACTCCAGCTGCAGGCAATTTTCTCCTTAATTGTCTTCTTCCATTGTATTTGGCTTTGTGGTTCTGTAGGACATCCCTGGCGGCGCAGCTGTCAGGCTGTAGATTGTGCATGCAGGAGTTTGAGTTCTTCTGTCTCCTTGTGGCCCTACGATGGATTGGCGACCTGTCCAGGGTGTACCCCGCCTTTTGCCCGATGTCAGCTGGGATTGGCTTCAGCCCCCAGCGATCCTGTATGAAGGATAAGCAGTTGACGATGGATGGATGTCTTCTTGTGATTCTCAGTTCATGCTTACTACATCAAGGCAATAAATTCCTTTCAGACCTCCAGAATGGCTTGGTGGCCAATAGGAGGCTGTAGTTGTGTAGTGCTGCATTTGGTGTAATCTGATGCAGTGCAATGGCAGGAATGACTTTGATGTTAACCTTCACTGTTCCTCTGCTCTTTACTCCAGTCACTTTATCAGGATAAAGAACGTGCTGAGGGCAGATAAGAGATACCAGAGAAACACTGTGTGTGTGTGTGTGTGTGTGTGTGTGTGTGTGTGTGTGTGTGAGACCTGGCTAGGGGTGACATTGTTACTACCATTTTACGCAGGAAGTCGTATTAAAGTGCATGTGTGTTCAAAGGTGTTTATGCGCATGTGTATCTTAATAGGGGAGTTGTTGTGTATAAAAGGCTTTTCCAAAAAAATCTCTCCTGTTTCTGACCATTGTGTTTGTGTGTGCGTGTATGTGTGAGAGAGGGAGAAACAGGGTGTGTGTTGGGACTGGACCCTAACTTAAAGCCAAGATTTCGGGGGCGAAGAAGGATCGAGTGGTCTGGACCTCCATTGATTTAGGAGAGCAGTCCCCTATCACACCTGCAACCATGAGTAAACCGGTAGGAGAACCAGCTGATGACCATTCACGTTGTGTAGCATTGTTTGTGAAAGAAAGTATACAAGTATTTTCTAAATGTGGAAAAAGGGCCTTTTTAGTCACTGTAAGGTGTTGGGCTGCCAATACATTTGGGCACAGGTTTTAATTTGTCAGTGTCGTCTTACAAATACAAAGATATATTATCAGATATAAAACCAGACACACTACTGTAAAAATAAAAAAAGGTTAATTAGTATCATCCATTAATTTTAGCCTCCTAGCACTGGCTACCTGTGAGGTTCTGTATGATTAAAAAGATGAAACTATATAAGCTACACTGGAGGTGTCTCAAGAAATTATATTAGCACTTCAAGACACTGTTGGGCTTTTAAATAGGAAAACATTTTCACAACCCTATTATTACTTGTTTATCTTTTTTCATGCTATACTCAGTCTCTCTATCTCTCTCGATATATAGATATATAAAAGTATGTGTGTCTCTGTGTTTTAAAAAAAGTTCTTTTCAATCAGTTACAGAATGGCATTCAATAAATTCCAGTGAATCATTCAACAAACCCAGTCTGTAAATTAAGTTCCTATTGATAGATTTTATATTTAGTATACTTTATAATGTACTGTATATAATACTGTTTCAATTTTGTATTATCTAATTGAAACAGATGGAATATTACAAATATCTACAGCTACCAAACTTCCACTTTGAAAATGGTGTCAGTACATCTAAATAAAATGCAGTCATATGCTTCATAAGTTATTTCAGAATGCATTTGTTTTCTTTGACTGGCATGGATATAATGTACTCCAATCTGTGATGTGTCGAGATTTGTTTATTTACCACAAACCAAATGTGTCTGCAGATTAGTTTCATAAGTTAGCTGGTACATATTTTAATTTCACATATAATGCACAGTCCCCATGAAGAGCATACAGCAGGCGTAGGGCGGAAAAAATACATTTAGTATCCACATTAAGAATGTCAAGCTACTAGACAGATAGATTTCCTACATAAATGTGTAAATGTTTTGCCAATATTTTGCCAGGACACATACGACATGTTTGAGATGGATGGAGAGATGGACAAGAAGAAGAAGAAGAAGATGAAGAAGAAGGAGAAACTGGAGGGCATGAAGAAAGAAATGGATATAGTAAGTAAAGAGTTCAAAAAATAGTAGGGCAGGTAGACATTGTCGTAGTGAGACGTGTTATATATGTCAGTTTAAATTCATTGTGCTGTAAAGACCTACTTGTGATTTACAGATTATACTACAGAAACCTCAGACTTTTTATTCCAGCTACTGTCCACTTAGAACCACCAAGTTTCAACCAACCAGCTATGACTAAATCGCCTTGTTCTGAATCAGTGTTGTGATCTGTCTCCTCCTGCAGGACGACCACGAGATTACAATTGAAGAACTAGAAATGAGGTACAACACTAGTGTTACCAAGGTGAGACATTTCTTTCTTTAACATTTTTCTTGTTTTTTTCACTTAATTTGTCTTATAGATTAATTGTATTAATTTATTTCCTTTTCTCTTTACCCATAACAATTTCCCACTTCTGTGTGGGTCCTTTAGGTTCCAAGACAATGCTATTTCCATACTCACTTGTTTCATCTGTTTTATTTGCTCTCCATCCACAGGGTTTGACCACTGCCTATGCTAATCAGATCTTGGAGAGAGACGGTCCCAATGAACTGAAGCCTCCTAAAGGAACTCCAGAGTATGTGAAGTTTGCCAGGCAGCTGGCTGGAGGGCTGCAGTGTCTGATGTGGGTTGCAGCCTGCATCTGCTTCATCGCCTTTGGAATTGAACTTGCGAGGGGGAACCTCACCAGCTTTGACAATGTGAGTTATATTTCCTGCCCCTCTGAGCAGGAGGTGATCAGAGAGGGTCAGAGACCAAGAACAGAGAAAAGAGACAGCAATATGAAACAGTCATAGTTAGCTACCTGTTTTTATGGTTATATCTTCTTTCTCACTTCAGCTGTACTTGGCTATCACCCTAATTGCTGTTGTCGTGGTTACTGGCTGCTTTGGCTACTACCAAGAATTCAAGAGTACCAACATCATTGCGAGCTTCAAGAATTTAGTGCCACAGGTAAGTTTCACATGCCCAATCAGCACATTGTTGGAATGTAATATAAATGGCTTCTCTATCATTATATCTCTTTTCGGTCTATTTCCTTTTTCCTTGTCTGTCGCTCTCTTGTTTCCCTCTGTGTCTTCCTTTATGTGTTCACCTCCTTTCATCTTTGTTAATCATACTCCCGACCTTCAAAAATAGCAAGCCGTTGTGATACGTGATGGCCAGAAAAACCAGATCAACGCCAACCAATTGGTGGTGGGGGATTTGGTGGAGATCAAAGGAGGAGACCGAGTCCCTGCTGACATTCGTATCATCAGTCAGAGCTGCAAGGTAGATCACATATTCAGCATATACTGTATATTCAAGCTTGCATACAGACAAAGACAGATATAATGCTTGTTTAAACTGAACGTGTCATGCTGTAAGCTTACAATCAGATTTTTTTAAATTATTGGTTACTCATAGAATCAGAGTTCACCAACACCAGAATTTAATGCCAAAGTGTCCACATTTTATCAAAGTTGCCCTACTGATAACCAAAAAAACATTGTTCAACTTATGTGTAATGTACTCAGTATTTTTGTGAGAGTTTTGTGAGATTTAACTGCACATGAGACCAGTTAGTTTTAATGTTCAAATACCCAGAAGAAAAAGAATAAACCCTTTAAATTGTTATATTTGAGAGGGAGATGTTGCCCAATCCTCCCTTCCCTTGCGGACAGGACCTTTTGTGAATATACTTTGTGTACCAGGTGGACAACTCATCGTTGACAGGAGAGTCTGAACCCCAAACCAGGAGTCCAGAATGCACTCATGAGAATCCACTGGAGACCAGAAACATTGCTTTCTTCTCTACAACCTGTCTGGAAGGTGCAGTAATTTATGAATCTATGTTTTATATCTTAAATTATGTATCTTATATCATCTATAAGTGTCTTATTTAAGCATTTGCTTGTTTATTTATCATTTTCGTGTCCTCTCCAGGTGTTGCTACTGGTGTGATCATTAACACGGGTGATCGTACCATCATCGGTCGGATTGCCACCTTGGCAAGTGGCGTTGGCAATGAGAAGACACCCATTGCCATAGAAATTGAGCATTTTGTTGACATCATTGCTGGTCTTGCAATCTTTTTCGGCTTTACCTTCTTTGTGGTTGCCATGTTCATCGGATATGCCTTCCTGGAAGCTATGATATTCTTCATGGCTATCGTGGTGGCTTATGTGCCAGAGGGGCTGCTTGCTACAGTTACTGTGAGTTACTGCAACACATGTGAACTTCTATAACATCATTGTTTATGGTTTCCATTATGTCCAAATTGGACTATATGAATGATTAATTTGGATGATAGCACCACTGAAAAATCATTCTCTGTATTAGTAATAATGTGTATTAGTTATTTCATTATACGTGCTGCAGACTAGACAGATTTAAGATGTCTGTGAAGATTCTCAGTCATCCAGGTCATAGTTATCCAACGAAGGTTAAAGTCAAGGGCAACTGGACTTGGTTGAAGATACTGGAAGACTTTCTACCAGTCCGTCAGAACTGAAGAAGTCCATTGGATGAAGGACAAAACGTCTTCCAGTATCTTCAACCAAGTCCAGTTGCCCTTGACTTTAACCTTCGTTGGATAGACAGATTTAACTTTGCTCTGTAGTAACCTGTCAGTCTGTAACAGCCTGTGTCTCTGTTAACAGGTATGTCTGTCTCTGACTGCTAAACGACTTGCCAGGAAGAACTGTGTTGTGAAGAACCTGGAGGCTGTGGAGACATTGGGTTAGTATGCCTGAATAAGTATGGAAAGCTGAGAGTGATCATTTTGTTTCTGTTCAGGTAATTTAGTTAAATTTAAGTTGAAATGTGTAGAATAAAATCGCTTTAGGTTTAACCACTTCATCAGCTTCAACAACACCTCACCTAATACAGCATAATGACACACATATTATATAAAAGTATATCTTATAAAGATTTCACTTGATATGGTCCATATTAAGCTCTTGTCTGTACAGTATATGTGTGTAACCTGAGCTGTGTGTGTTTAGGGTCCACTTCAGTGATCTGTTCTGATAAGACTGGTACCCTGACCCAGAACAGGATGACTGTGGCTCACCTTTGGTTCGACAACCAGATCCACGCTGCAGATACCACTGAAGATCAATCAGGTAAACACATGGGGAAAAAAATGTTTTTTATTCAAAACATTTACATTTAAAATGAATCAGTACTGTTGTTATGAGCAATGTTTTAGAAAAATAATGCAAGCCATAGTAAGCTAACATGTGGGTTTCTATTTCCATTATTATGTGTATTTGAAAGGTGGATTAATGTTATTTTACATTTGCGTAATCTTTGATTATCATGTGATTGTGTGGTTTTCAGGCCACAGTTTTGACCAGTCATCAGAAACATGGCGTTCACTAGCGAGAGTGGCTTCCCTGTGTAACAGAGCTACATTCAAACCTGATCAGGAAGGTGTACCTATTCCTAAGGTACAAGTTTATGGTTTTAAGGCATGTGGTGTCACACTGAGCCAACAAAATGCAACATCTACGTTATGTTATTTATTTGTTTTAAGAAGCCGGTTTCCCCCTTTTCTATATTATTATGAAAAAATATTTGTTCCTTTTGTCTCTTTGTTATCTCACTTTTACCATTTCACACAGAGGATCGTGGTGGGAGATGCGTCAGAGACGGCTCTGCTAAAGTTCACAGAGCTCACTGTAGGGAACATCATGGACTACCGTAATCGCTTCAAGAAAGTGGTGGAAGTGCCCTTCAACTCTACCAACAAGTTCCAGGTGAGAGCAGGAAGCTGTGTTGTCAATAGGCTTCTTATCATCCTTGATCAAATACCACACTGTAAACCATAAAAATAGTGAGCAAAATATGTATTTTTTCATATTTAAAGCTATCATCTGGAGTTTCCTACTTTGATACTGGGATAATCCTGTGATTCACGGTGAATCTAAGAGCACAGATTTAGAAGCTGAATAAATGTCCAGATTTATTCAGCTTCTATCAACCACCTCTCTCCCTCCAGCTATCTATCCATGAACTGGAGGATCCTCTGGACCTACGCTACCTGTTGGTGATGAAGGGAGCGCCGGAACGCATCTTAGAGCGCTGCTCCACCATTTTGATAAAAGGCCAGGAGTTGCCTCTGGATGAGCAGTGGAGCGAGGCCTTTCAGACAGCCTATATGGACCTGGGAGGACTGGGAGAGAGAGTATTGGGTTAGAGAGGACTTCTTATGACCCTGATGTGACCTAATCATGTGGCTTGCTATACTGAAAATGGTTTTACTAAAACTGTCAGTTCCCTTTTGCTTACAGTATACTGAAAAAAAAAACTAAAATGTGAAGTTGTTGCACACAAATGCTTTTGGCATGTGGAACTCCAAAGTTTTTGTCACTCAATGCACAATCAGTTGTATTTCTGCCATTTAGATTTGTAACTTATATCAAATTCCAGTAGTACATAGACGCCTTTTGTGATACACAATATGACATTTCTACTAGTTGTAGGTTTTTTTTTTAACTACTCTGCTGTTTCCTTTTTCCCCTCTTAGGTTTCTGCCATCTCTATCTGAATGAGAAAGAGTTTCCTCGTGGCTTTCGATTTGACAGTGAAGATATGAACTTCCCTACGTCAGGACTGTGCTTTGCCGGTCTCATCTCAATGATTGACCCCCCAAGAGCCACTGTACCTGATGCAGTGATGAAATGTCGTACTGCTGGTATCAGGGTGTGTTCATATTTCCCCACATTTTTTTGCAATGCAGAATTATACAAGAGACTGAGTATGTAATATGTAGAGTATGTAAATGTTACCCTGTCTCACAATATTTATATTTTGGAACTTCAGGTTGTCATGGTGACTGGGGACCATCCAATTACAGCAAGGGCAATAGCAGCTAATGTTGGTATCATCTCAGAAGGCAGTGAAACAGTGGAAGATATTGCCCAGAGGAAGCGCATACCTGTCGAACAAGTGAACAAAAGGTATTTGTGTCACTGCTGTCCACTTGAAACAATACTTATTTCCAAGATATATCAAAGAGCCATCTATCCATTGCAGTATAGTGTTTATTTCTTACTGTGTGACCTTGTATGACTAACTGTGTGATCATCATCTTGTAAAAATTCACAAGAGATTCACTGGACTGTTGTGAATCTGAATGCTTGCATGTGTCTTTGTTCACAGGGACGCCCGTGCTTGCGTGATCAGCGGAGGTCAGCTGAAAGACATGAGCAGCGACGAGTTAGATGACGCGCTACGGAACCATCCTGAGATGGTGTTTGCAAGAACATCCCCTCAGCAGAAATTGATCATTGTGGAGAGTTGTCAACGTCTGGTAAATACACACAGTTTGCGTGTATTCATATCCAAGCGTGTATGATCAGTTAACATTTTGAATGTTAACATTTTCAGGTTCGTGTCAGATGTTTTCATTTTTTCAACCCTTCCCCAAGGGCTCTATCGTTGCTGTGACAGGTGATGGTGTGAACGACTCTCCGGCTCTTAAGAAGGCTGATATCGGTGTCGCTATGGGGATTGCCGGGTCAGATGCTGCCAAGAACGCTGCAGACATGATCCTGTTGGACGACAACTTTGCTTCTATTGTCACTGGAGTGGAGCAGGGTGAGACTTAGAGAAGAAGAAATTCTGTGTGTTTTGACAAAACAATGTTAACTTTAGGGTCTGGCTCACTTGTCATCACTTCCACTAAATATCTTCGTTCACATGGTAACAGGTGGTCATACATGGGGGGAGATCATTGCCTCTATTTCAAGAATGTTTGTGTTCTCTCTATTCTGTCTTTGTTATTTAAAATATTGGCAATATTGGCGATCTCTATGGTTACCTTTTCCAGTAAAATGAAAAGTGAAACAATTCTAGTTTCTGTCTGTGAAGACCTGGTCACCTAGGTCATAGTTATCAAAGAAAGGTTAAATCAAGGATAACTGGACTTGGTTGAAGATACTTAAAGATCATCCAAGAGGCTTCTTTAGTTATAACTGACTGGCAGGGAGCCTTAGCTAACTAATCTTAACCTCTGTGGGGTCGTTATCAAGGGGATGGATACCACTTGGTTTGTTAGAGCTCCTGGCTGTTGTAACAACAGCCATTACGGCTATTAGAGTGACCAGAGGCCGAGTCTGAACGACTGTCTTTGACATTGTCACTTGGGAAGGGATGAAAGGACTCTACTCTTCTCTACTCTGGTGTAAATGGCTTCTTTCAATCCTTTTCAGAATATGAACATTGTGGTCCTGGAAAGAGTGACGCTTTTTCGTCAAATGTAAACAACAAGTATCTTCAACCAAGTCCAGTTGCCCTTGATTTAACCTTCCTCGGATTTCTAGGTTTTAAAATAATAAAATCTAAACTTTGAAAGGATGTAACATGTTTTTGAATAACTGCTATACCCAGTATTTACTGACCAATGAACAGTTTGTAAATTTACATAGAGTATATTGAGCTGTGTATGTGTGTGTAGGTCGTCTTATCTTTGACAACCTGAAGAAGTCTATTGCCTACACACTAACCAAGAACATTCCTGAGCTGACTCCATATCTGATCTACATCACTGTCAGCGTGCCTCTTCCTCTGGGCTGCATCACTATTCTCTTCATCGAACTGGCCACTGACATTGTGAGTAATTATGTCATTAGTACCAGTTCAGCAAGAAAGCAAATTACTTATAAAGGTATTTAGGCAATGTATTCATTTTTACAGAATTAACATGACCAGCTAAAGATAATGAAAGGAGAGACCATCTGCTGAAAGCAAATTACTTTTTATGGTCATTACACTGGCTATTTAGTTTCATCAAAGATGATGACTGTGTCTAAAATATTATGACACGTGCACAATTTTGAATCACCAGCCTTAACAGCGGGTGATTTGATGACATGAAGAGTAAATTAGCTGCATTTTCCTCACTCCCTTATCTGCTGTGCAGTGTGTGTATATATGGTTTGTTTATTCCTGTCTCTTCTGTAGTTCCCCTCCGTCTCTCTAGCTTACGAGAAAGCAGAGAGTGACATCATGCATCTGAAGCCCAGGAACCCTCGTCGTCATCGTCTGGTAAACGAAGCCCTGGCTGTATACTCGTACTTCCAGATAGGTGAGACTGTGTGTGTCTGTGCTATATGACAAAACATGCATACTGTATATTACTACTGTACTAACCTTATTAACATTGAATAAATACTTCATAGACAAAATAGAATAGCATATAAGCGAATGTGTCTCAACTACATGCATAGCCTTTGTTAGACACATTAAAGCAGATAAGACAATAACAGGGTACACTAAGAATCCCTCTGGAGGAGCCACTGCCCCATATGCTGTCTAAATGGTGTCACTCGGCCACTGAGCTAGATTTATGCACTCCTTAAATAGTATTGGCCCGTTTTATTTCTTCTTTCTTTTCTTCGTTTTAGGAGCCATCCAGTCTTTTGCAGGATTTACAGATTATTTCACAGCCATGGCCCAGGAGGGCTGGTTTCCCCTCCTGTGTGTCGGCCTGCGTTCTCAGTGGGAGGATGTTCATCTTCAAGATTTACAGGACAGCTATGGACAAGAATGGGTTGGCATACACTTGAGATCCTACTTTTGGGCAATTTTCAAATTGTGGACACAAGAATGTCTAATTTCTGTTTCCTGTGTGAAGGGAATATTTGCATTTGATCAGCATATATAACCAAATAACTCCCCCTATATGTCCTCTCCTCTGCTTACAGACCTTCAGTCAGAGGTTGTACCAGGAGTATACGTGCTACACTGTATTTTTTGTCAGTATAGAGATCTGTCAGATCTCAGATGTGCTGATCAGGAAAACTCGACGTCTCTCTGTGTTCCAGCAAGGCTTCTTCAGGTCAGTAAACACACATCCCTAACAGGAATTGCTCGGCGTAACAATTAATATCTTAAGCTTTAGCATTAATGTTTACAGGGTTATTTCTGTGTCTGTATCATGTGAACATGATTAACTTATGCTACATTTACACAATTATTAGTATAAAGAGAAAAAAAACTGTAATTATTTCAACTCGAGAGGGTTCACGCATTATTCAAAGATTTTGCTAGTCTTGTAGTCACATCATAGAAATTAACTAAACTAATTAAATTAACTACTTCTACTGTTAAGTATATGGAACAGTTTGTAAAACAAGTGGAACCTGATACAAACAAACTGTGTAATGCTTCTTTCATTGAGCAGGTTATTCTTGGTAGTCAAACCAAGTGCTTTAAATACTTTATTTTCTGATTTATAAATAGTTTAAAATATTTAAGTATAAGTATATATGGGAAATTGCATTTGTGTTACAATTGTAAACAAAGGCATCAAGTATTTTCTTATGTTCTTGTCAATGCATTTTATATGGAAACAATTAATGCAGAAATAATCCACTTCTGATAGTAACAAAATCCAAGCTGACAGAGTGTTAAAGCAAAAGGCAGTCCAGTATGGGAGCACAAACAGGAGACACAGACCAGGGAAATCAGGGAACACACACACGGACAGACATGTAATAACAAGGATACAAATCAGGCAAACTGGACACAAGACTAGACATGAACAGTAGACGCAGACAAACTTGAAAACATGACAGGGAACAGACAGGAACCAGGATCAAAAGAGTGAGCACAACAGAACAGACAGAACATAATCAAAATAAACAACAAAACCAGCAGAGAATGGAAAACACTCAGTCACAGACCAAAATAATTACAAATACAGACCTAACCAGAGTAGGATTATGACAGTTTGGTTATTTGTGTGTTTATTTGTGTGCAGGAACCGTGTACTGGTTACTGCCATAGTCTTCCAGCTGTGCCTGGGTAATCTGCTTTGTTACTGCCCTGGAATGCCCAATATCTTCAATTTTATGCCAATCAGGTAAAAGCACACAGAGGCTCATTCACATGGTCACTATCTGAAATAAAGCTCGGACTGGATTACAAAGAAAATGTGGTGTCTATATTCTGAGGACACAAAAATTTTTTATTGGAACATCACAAATATGGAACCCATAGGTAGAAAGTTATTTTTCTACTACACTCACAGTTTCTTCCATGTTTGATTGTTAAAAAAAAAGCTGTAGCCTGTGGTCTAATTTTACATGTTGCATTTTCTCTCCAGAGTCCAGTGGTGGTTTGTTCCTGTTCCATATGGTATTTTAATCTTTGTCTATGACGAGATCAGGAAGTTAGGAGTCAGACGGTATCCAGGAAGTAAGATATGATTATCATACCTTCTCACCTTTTACCATCCATTTGTTTATCATCATTAACATCTACACATCTATTCAGTATTCGTTAATTTATGGTTTGTAAACTCTCAGGTTGGTGGGATCAGGAATTATACTACTAAGACCAGAGAAGCTCTTTCATTCATCCATCTGTCCATATGCATGAAAGCACCACTCAAACAGAATGCGGCAAACCCAGAGGACCTTACCCAATTCACCCTACATCTATATTACTTTGAGCTCTATGTATTTATAGCTTTCAATTTTAACATTATATTAATAAAGAGTCTGCCTAAATCATTTAACAAAGGAAATAGGTACTAATCACTAAAAGTCATAAATTAATAATTCACAAAGATTTGTTGTTTCAACTGTGACTGAGTTGTATTTGTACTAATAAAGAATTTTTCAGACTGATGACCTAAAATCAATAACAAAAGTAGAAGTAACTTTGTATTCTGTGTGTGTGTGTGTGTGTGTGTGTGTGTGTGTGTGTGTGTGTGTGTGTGTGTGTGTGTGTGTGTGTGTGTGTGTGTGTGTGTGTGTGTATACATACAGAGGTGGAAAGAGTACTAAAATATTGTACTTAAGTAAAAGTACTGTTACATTGATGAATTTTTACTTAAGTACAAGTAAAGTTACTTTTATAAAAATTTACTCAGAGTAAAAGTTACTTACAATGTAAACCCAAATAAGTTCAGAATACTCAAAATATTTGTGGAAACTGATTACCTCAAACTTTAAATAGTGGTAATATTTTTGAGTAAACCTTAACTTGAATATAATAAATAAAATAAAAACTTTAATTTCTGCATACAAAATTTTATTGATTCACTGATGATTATTAAAATTAAATTCCAGTAATTCTTTACTCAGTAAATGTAATTCTGCACAACTTAAACCTTAAATAGTCATTTCTACATTTAACAGATGCAAAATAACGCACATCTTGCATAAAGCTGAATAGACAAAGTAAGTTACTGCTTGATCAGATAATTAACCAGCAACAATTTTGATAATCAATTTATTTTCATTCTTTTTTGCAATCATGTTGAACATTCTCTATTTCCAGATTTTTAATGAGATTTTTTGGTGTTAAGTAACAACTTGAATCTCTTGAGCTAAATAAAAGTTTCTTTTACTACTTACTTTACTATGTTTTGTTTCAAATACGTTGCTAGAGACTGGTTTTAAGCCCTAAGATCAGTTTTTCCATCCAAGACCCGATAAGGTTGCACTTCCCCATAGCTGAAGAATAAATCCATTGTATATCAGTGGTAAAATCCGAAAGAGACTTGCGGCAAAAACACAAAAGCTGCCTCTTGGTCTTTGTAGTCGTAACACAGCGAATTATATTTGGACCGATTTGAACTACCAACAGAAAGAACTACACCACCACGGGAGGAAAAAACATTCTCGAGCGCTGCGGGGACATTTCAATGAGCATTAGAGGTAGCGTTACATGGACGTTGGAAATAAATACCCGTTTCAAATTATTTAAGACCTAGAACACAAACTTCAGCGAATGTAAGTCTTTTTAAGGCCTTAATTGAAATTTTTGAAATTTAAGACTTTTTTTAGACTTAAGACCCCACGGAAACCCTGCAGGACGTCTACTTGACAGGTGCTGTTACCAGAGCAGCTCCTTTAATCTTTGATTGTCCGAGTGACAGAAAGTGACGATGAAAGTGATTTTCCTCTGAGAGGAGGAAAATATTCTGGCAGTAAAAGTACAGTGTCGGTGTGTCAAGTAATAAATGATGCAGCTTCTCCATACCAACAAGTCTGATCCCAAACGGCTGGAGAAGTGAAGCAGGTTGACAAACATCTCCCATTCAGACTGGAAGCTAAGCAGGAAGCTAACAGAACGTCTTTTAGTTAAATTCATAGAAAGTAACGAGCAGCTGTATTTTATTCCAGCCTACCTGTCCAGCTGAGAGAAAAGAGGTGTTCAGCTCAGTCCTGAACGCAGACTGAACTTCCATGGGGTACCATATTTGGGTCACACACAAGGTAGTCCCACCCTAAGGCCTCACCTGCTTTCTGTTCTATTTTCCTCTAAATGGGACCATCATTTACTAAATGAACATCATGCTGTGTTGAAGAGCGACTGAGGCCATAAACTCATTACTACAAAAAAAAAAACTATCCTTTCATCTCTTTAAACCTGTCAGCTGCTGGAAGAGGCATTCGAGTTGGTTTCCCGTAGTACATTTCATTACATTACATTAACATTTCATAATACTTGTCGCTGATATTGACATTTCTGTGAGTACACATTGCAGGTTTTGAAGACATCAGTCATCCGCTAGCAGGTTCACTACCACGGGGGGTCAGACGGCATCTCATGTGTACTTTGTGTTGTTCCTAGATTAAAAAAATCAACAACAAAAAAAATTGATCAAAATAATTATTATATAAATATTTTTTACAGCACATAAAGTGTAACAGTTCTACCAATGTAATTCTAAAATAATAACAATATTGATAGCAAGAACAACAAATCCATCCATCTGCAACTACCTAAAGACAAATCAAATTTACACAAACGCAGTGACTCAAACAATGGGTGAGAAATAGAAGCTAACTATAACCTTAAACATGACAATAGAAGAGATTTAGGAGCCAGTGCAGTAGGGCTGGACCCAAATATCTGACTATTCTTCCATTGGGTTGGTATTCAGCTTTCAGTTTTGGGATGTGGAGATTCGCACAAGCACTTACAGTTCTGTCCCGCAAAACGCTGCACACACACCAACTGGGACCGCTGTATCATACAGCGACAGACACATACAGGCTATCTGTCTGCTTTCAACTTTCATTGTCAGACGTATGTTTTTCTGTCCAAAAAACACAGTGCGCATTTTGAACTTTTTCACCCACGATCCTGTGTTAACAACCGCAGGTGAGCTGCTTGTGGAGAAGGCCTATAGTACATGTCTCTCTGTTTGTGTCTCTGCAACTGTCAGTTTGTTCTTGGACGGATAGAAAAACTTAAACTCACCTGAAGGTCATAAATCCTGAGGATCAGGGCCTTGGCTGTCTTGGCCTTCTGCCTGTACAGGGCAATCAGTTGTGTGTATCTCTCAAGCTCGCAGTAGAATTGGTTGCATGGGTTCAACATTTGTAAAGCGATGGAACTCAGCAATGTATGCAGATTAATGGTTTCCAATTTGGGCCTTGACATAAACCTCATCATCATAAACATAATGCATCAATTACTTGTTTTAAGCAGGATGGCTGGCTATATGGCAAAAAGAATATTGTTTTTACCTGAGAAATGGACATGGACCACTGCACTGACAAGAAAAGAAAATGAAGGGTCATCCTGCAAATTTCTTTAACCTGACATAGGTTTTGCTGCATCAAAATGAAAGATTATGTGGCTAAGAATTGAGTTAGCCAGAGTATATTTCTAACTAGAATAATTGTATAATATTTCATCATCTAGCTTCTATCTGAAGCAACATTCCCACTCCAACACAGACCCTTGTTTTTTTTCTCAACAGTGCCATTTTTCAACAGGGTTGAGACAGAATTACAGTCAGGTACTAAATAGTTTAAGAACCATAAAGGAGTCATTCATCCATATCATCACAAGTTAATAACAGCCTTTAATAGAGTCTACAGTGAAAAATGTTTGCACTTAATGCTGTAACAGATCTACAGTTTTCTCGGTTTTTGATCACAGCCAATCATTTCTGAAATGTTTAAAAGACATCTATGAGAATTGCTAATTATACATATTCATTATAAAATCTGTCACAGCTGGACTAATGCACTTTTCTAAAACAGTACAATATCCCCCCTACGTCTCTAGTCAAAATCTAGTCTAAAATATCTTTCTTCGTGTTAAAATGTCACCCACTGTGAAATCTTGCTTGCTCCAGTTCTAGCAATGTTGTATTTTTTTATCCTCAGTATGTCTGATTAGCAAGCCAGCAATTGACGCAGAAATATGCAAATTGATAACATACCTTGGACAGCTGTAGTTCCTCTCAATACTCTGTTTGATCCTGTGAGAGCATATATAACAAACAATATAAAGATCTCCCATTCGCCCTGTCAACAAGAACATCATCAAATGTTAAATAAAAACTGCAACATTCTTCACCAACTTTCATTACCATAGTGGAAAAATATTCCTTTACAAATACATATTACAGCCACTTCAGATGAGGCAACTTGTGTCTGCAATTGAAGGGCTGAGGGGTTTATTAGGTTCACCGCTGATAAAATGAAACATTCAGTCATGCATCAACATTATTTCAGGATACATCTTACTGAAATGTCTTTGAAGCTTGAGGAAACGGCTCAGGTACACTTGAGAGGACAGATCTATTAAATATAAACATATTCAATACTTATCATACAAACATAATAAGTACACAGTTACAACTGATCTGACTTGAAAATCTCCCAACTGGAGGGGTTTTCATATCATATTTAACCTATATCAGTGTAACTAGGCTCAATGATTGTTCCACATTATGAATGTTTTTACTTTTTGAGGAACCGTACATCTTACTACAAACACTGCATTCAGGAACTGCTTGTTAACTTACATGAAGGCAGAGCTTGACTGTCTCCACAGTAACGTTATAGGACTAAAGTAAAGTTAATCAGCAGTTCAGTGCAAAATATCACTTGCACAACTGTGTGTTCAAGGCATTACCGTTTCCGTTTAAAAATATATGTTTTGTTACGTTTTGTCCGCCGAATTCAGCCTAGATCCAATGGTGACGTCAAGGACGCCACGCCCCCTTCATATTTCATTAACATTTGGAATAAATATTATACCTGTGGTGAGGAAGACATCCGACGACTTTCAGAGGAACTCAAAGAGAAAGATTCCCTGCTGACTGGCTTTATGGATGTCCCTTCAGTACAAGCCAAACAGATTGTTTCTCTTAGCGCAACCGCTAACATCCAGGACACCTTACTATGGGACCCTTCCAAGGCTTTCCTCTTGCTCGACTCCGAAGCATCAGTCAACCTGGGCTGAAGTGGTGGTCCGTGGCTGCAAGAGAGGCTCGGACGGGGCTACCTCTCCTCCGCACATCGCCCTCTCCAACCGCTATGCAGCCCTGTCTGACGACACTCCGGTCCATCCAGCGGATGCACCTGCGGCTTTGAGTCTCCCAGATACGGATCCTTTTCGGCGGATAGTGCCTGCCAACACTGTTGTTTGTGTGAATAATTACTCGGAGACTCTAATAGGTATATGCACTGTGCATCTGTATTGCTAACTGCTTACAGACATAACATTGCGCTTCCTACTGGAACATACCATTTCTACCCAACCAAGGTGGGGCCAACAGTCCCTTATAACATCTCCCCCTTTATAGTTAAACACATTCAGGCAGATAAAGAAACCATTTGAGTTTCATTAGAGTAGCACTCAACAATCCACATTTCAAATTTAACATATCAG